TGGGCCCTTCCCTGGGGGTCAGGGAGGATTCTGGCCGTTTGGGAAGGTGGCAGAACTAGTTTGCCACTCTCAAAACGCCACCAAGCAGCCTGGACCAAGGTACAGTGCGGAGCGCTTACGGCATGCTACCCCACAGAGGCGGCCGCACCCCAATCCAAGCAGGTGTTGAAATCACTGTGTGCTCTGGTGAGGCAGAGCATAGAAAACGTGAGTCCAAAGGACACGGAATTGCCCTTGCTCTGATGGAAACACGGATGACAACTCTAAGGATCCGTTCCCTGGTGCTACACACATTTGAGAGTAAGAATGAGACCTCCTAACCTCCCCTCCCCCCAAGACACAGTATTTTCTCTTGCTGGAAACTTAAGGGCCTGGGTGTGAGTGTGGGTAGAGAGAGGAGTTTGCTTTCATTATCATTCTTCCCTGCCCCCAGCGTGACTTCTATAGGACCAGGCTCAAGCCTTTATGGGCCCTAGGACTCATAGGCCACGACTCATCCAGGTCAGCTGCCCTCTCTGCCAACTCAATCCTGCAGGTCCCCGTGGCCTTCCCGAAACTGCCAATTTGATGAGATCCCTTTAGCCATTGCTGAATTCAGCAGAGTCGGGACTATTAAAGCTCTTGAAAACCTTATATACATCAAAATATAAGTCAACACAAGGGAAACTTTTTTTTTTTTTTTTTAGCAAATGTATTCTTCCTCCATTGTGTAAAAAAGATTGAATGGCAGGAAGTTAAATCTCCTTTTTACTAAAAAAGTAAAGAAAATCATGCAACGAGATGATCCTGCTCGGCCTTCAGCATAGACATGCCTTCTGTCTCCCAGGGCTCCCTGCTGTTCGCACGGCAGGATTTTGTCCTCAGCAGACTGAGTTTTGTCCAGTGCGTTAGTTCCTTCCCAGACCAGCGCGTTCTGACTTTCTCTCAGCCCTTCCAGTCTGAGTGTTCCTCCCTCATGGCTTTCACAAGCCAGTCCCGCTCTGTCCCTTGCTCAGAGTCACTGCTGTCACTCGCCTCCATGGCCAGTAGCTTGGAGTAGTTGATTTTCCGCTCTTGGGGCAGCCTGGGCTGGATGGACAGGAACAAGGCCAACCAGAGCAGCAGGGCCGCGCAGCAGGCCTGGTAGAGCACAGCCAGGCTGAAGCGCATGGCCACAAAGCCCGCCACGAAGCTTCCCAGGCTGCAGCCACTCCCGTAAAAGTGGCCTCGGAACATGGCGCTCAGAGGCCTCTCCGTGCCAGGAGTGGCCAGGGCCTCTATCGAGGCCCCAAGTGCCCACCACAGGGCCCCGTAGCTGACGGCACTCAAGAGCTGAACAGGGAGGACAGACCACCAGCTCCAGAGGAAGGAGTAGTAGAGCAGCTGCCCGGCGAGGCAGCCCAGCCCCAGCCCCACCGTGCCCACCCTGGACAGTTTCCTAAGCAACGTGGATTTGAATGGATGGAGCAGAATCTCCCCCAGCAGGCTGAGGGCCACCGAGAAACCCATAACCAGCTCGCTGCTCCCATGGTCGCTCATGTGCCAGAACAGAAAGTTCTGCACAGTGCTGGTGACGGCTCCTAACAGAAAGACAGTGAAGGCCAGGACAACCAGGCGGGGGTTGCTCCCTACAAGAGACAGTGCCTTGACGCTTTTGTCGCTGTGCTCCCGCTGCCGGCAGATGGGAACGGGAAAGGCAATGCTCACCAGTAAGGCCAGGACGCTGACCAGTGAGTAGCCGTAGAAGTGCACCACACCCCGGGGGGTGCTGGTCATCAGGAAGCAGTCCAGCTGCCCCACCAGGGCTGCGATGCCGCACGCGCCTGCCGACATGCCCAGCAGTCTCCAGATCCACAGGCTTCCGTACCGGTCAGTGGCATCCACAAAATCCAGGTATTCGTAGAGGCTGTCATCTGCCACCTGCTCCAGAGGGGCTGTCAGCAGCTCCCAGAATACCACGGACGCCAAGGAGAGGATGAAAGTCCACCGCAAGCCTTCCAAGGAGAGCTCAAGGACCTGGGCTTTGCCCTTGGCCGCGGACGAGTTGGCCAGACGTGCCAGTGCTGTGCTGCCAGGAAGCAGAGGGAGGGCAGTGTTGGCCACTTCGGAAGTACCTTCCCGGGGGTTGCCTTTCGGCCCTGAGGTGACAGGATGGAGGAGACCTGGGGATGTGGTTCTGACTCCGTCCACGGAGCCCACTAAATAGCCGTGCAGATCGCTGGAAGTTTCTTGGTCACTTTCACCTGGTCCATTTCTGGAGCCAGAGGCTTCCAGGACTCCAGGGCTGCTCCCGGCCGGGAGGCTGGGCGCCCCCGCTGGGTGGTTCGAGGCAGGCTCTTGGGCAGCCGTGGCGTTCACAGGCGGTGCGGCCCCCGGTGGTGGCACGGCCGTGGCGGTCGTGCTGCCGCTTCCGTTACAAAAGCGGTACACCAGCTCTCGGTCCAGCGGCGGGACCAGCGCCATCAGCAGGCTGGCGACCGCCGAGCCCAGCAGCGAGCCCGCGAGCAGCGCTCTCCGTTTCTGGTGGCTTTTGGCCAGGAAGGCACAGAAGGGAGCCCAGAAGGCTGCGACCAGGTGCTTGGCTCCCATCAGGATGCCCACCCAGGGTGCGGCCAAGCCCAGCTGCCTCAGGTAGAGGGTCAGGAAGGGGGCCACGCAGGCATCCCGGACCCCACACACCAGGTGGAAGAGCCTGGCCACCCCCAGCGCCCTGCTGACGTCCCACTGGGGGTTGGCACTCATGGCCGCGCGGCGCCGGCACACCCGTCAGACCCGGGCCGGCGGCGGAGGGGGCTGCGCGCAGGGCGGACGCGGCCCCATGTCCCCGCGAGGACCGCTCCGGGGCTCCGAGCGAGCCGGACGCCGCCTCCAGCCTCGGGTGGCGCGGCGGCGGTCACCAGGTCAACGGCCGCCCCCGCCCCCACGTCCGGCCGCCGGCCCGGAAGCGGCCCCGCCCCGAGGGAGCGGCGCGGCGGGGGCGGGGCTGACGCACCTGCTGGCCGCACCTGCCACGTCCCGCTGCCGCCGCCCCTCCCCCACTTCCGGGACGCGCGCAGGTGCGCGAGGGGCGCGGCCTGGGGCCTGCAGGGGGCGCTCCCAGCGAGGCCGCCCCCGCCCCGCCTCGGGGAAACCGTCGGGGTCGGGCTGAGGGGAGCGAGAGTGGAATGAGTGATACGCACTAGGTTCCCTCTCTCATGTTCTTCAGGTGTTTACTCAAACGTCCCCTGATCAGTGACCACCCGCAGGCATCATCCCGGTCCGCGCTAAGTGAAATTGCCCATCTCATACCTATGTGCCCCACCCCCGCCCCCACGAATCCCGCACGGCGCTTAGCGCCACCGAACACGCTGCGGGTTACAGTGCTTGTATTGACCTTGTTTATTGCCTGTCGCCATCAGAACCAAAGCTCCGGGAAGGCAGGTATTTTTGTCCCCAGGGCTTAAAACTGTCTCACTGGATGCATATGGTCCCTGGAAGGGGCGTGACCTTGGGTGACACAATTTTCCCCAAAGAGGGCTGACAGTTGAGGGCAGTCATTTGGTGGCACTTCCTGCAGCTGATCAGCAGGTATGCACTGGATAGTTTAAATCCGCACCTGGGACAGTCAGGGGCCCTGTTTGGGAAAGCACATTCCAGAGGTGGTTAGCTGGCATTTATTCAAAATGCCACGCTCCAGGGGCAGCTAATACAAGCACTTCAACTATCTTACATCGACAGAAGTGGCTTCCTTAGATATTAGAAACAGGTTTTCAATGATTACATTAGTGGTGTACAAGTCATGTGGATTGGTATAATTTTTTTCAGAGGCATTTTCTCTCTTGCTCAAAGAGGGTGTAAGAATCTAGAGATTCCAGTAGTTCAAGCCCTTTGGAAGGGTGCTGTAGGCTTCGCTCCAAAATATCAATTTTTCAGACAAGGCTTGCTCAGAGCACCTAATTTGGCTGGGGTTGGGGTGGAGGCTACTTGTCAACAAGTGTGTGTATGTGTCACAGAAGTTGGTCTGCAATCTGTTTTCATTGTATGCCGGTAGACAGGGTGTTGGGAAATCAGCCCAGAGCCCTCACCTAACCTTAACAACTGGTAAACTCTGCAACTGTTTCCTTAAAACCCCCATGATTGTGAATGCTCAAATTGATATCAATCTATTTACATCACCCCAACTGCATAAAAAACAAATCTAGCCACCTGGTTTCAGTCATTTCAGGTTTAAAGCCACCTCAGTCATGCTGAGGACTGTCCCTAGTCCTCCTCCCTTGGTCCCGCTGCAGGCAGCTTCAGTGGGGGCCATCACATGCATTCGCTTCCCGGTCCTAACCTGTTCTGGGCGCCTCTTCAGCGGGAGACAGGCACTCCGCCACTGGTGTCCGTGGAGGTGCCCTGGCTGCACACCTTGCCCTCAGGGGCCATGCTCCACACTGCCACCCACAGCTGCATCCCCTCCCCTTTCAGACCCCCTGGGCTTGTCTGCTTTCAGCTGCCTGGGAAATCCTTTGCCTGTTTCCCCGCACCCCATGGGGGCACAGGGACTCTCTCCAAGGCTGCCCTTGGGTCCATCTGCCTGTGCACCCCAGGCAGCCCTCTTGCACTCTCCTTGGCACTGACAATGTGCCCTGGGACTTGCCCCCACTCCCAGGGCAGTGAGGCCCAAAGTGAGTTGTCCTCTCTACTCCGGGATCCCCAAGACTTTAGAGGGATTCTTCCACCACTCCACCCCCACCATCCCCTGGCACTCTGTCCAGGCCATAGGGATGGGCCCAAGTCCAGGCCTTTTTGTCATTTCTGTTACTCTCCCCCCACCCATACCTAGCCCTGGGGGTGAGGACACTGGAGCCGTGTCATTGATCTTTCCTATTTTACACCCAAATTTTGAACCCAAAAGCCAAGAATTTGGATGCCTTTAATCTCTGGCTTCTCTGAAACCACCCTGCATTCCTGTGTCTGTTTAGGGACAGTGCTGGTCACGAGAGTCCCTCGGTTAACCAGAGTCCTGCGAGGAAGGGGCAGGAGACAGAACACAGCAGTTACGACTTCACAGAACTCTCCCCTGGCCTAAGCGGATACATTGGGTTATACTAAGTACTACCCCGATTTCTATTAAAATGCAAATATTGCTGGGCATTAGATGAAAGCAGAAACAGTTTAGTGTGCATTTATTGAGTCTGACATTCTCCTCTCAACTGGGAGAGGCCCCTGCCTGGAGGTGGGTGCGCTGGGCCCAAGAGCAGGGAGGGAAGGGGCTGGGAGGGAGGCGCTGCAGGCTTTACCTGCTTCCATTGCCCCTGGGCCACAGGGTTTCCAGGGCCCGGGGTGATCTTGCGTGGGAGAAGGTGGTGGGAGACGTGGGAGTGGAAAAATGGGTGGAGTGGACGTTCGTGTGCGAAGCTGGCTTTGCACGTGTGCTCTCTGTGGCTGCAGCTTTGCCTGCGCAGTCCTCGGGCCTTCGTGTGGGCCCTTCTCCATCACCCCTGCCCCCACGGCAGGCTCCCTGTGCTCCCGGGCGCTCGCTGGCTCCTGCTCAAGGCCGCAAGCTGCCCCGTGAGCTGGCCTCGTTCTGGCTGTTGGCGTGGGTGTCTGGGGGCTGGCGGGGCAGTGCATCCTTCCTCTTGGGCCTGCCGCCCTTGGACACAGCTCTTCTGCTGCCCCCCGCCAAGGCTCACTGGACGACACCAGAGAACGTGTTGATGGGCATCAGGAGGGGTTTGGGCCTGGCTTTGACTGTTTCCATCTCCTTCTGCCCGTGTGAGCCGCTCCATGGTGCCTTGGACTTCTGGGCTCCAGAACATGGCTCTGGGCAGGGAGCAACCTCCAATCTGCGGGTGGAGAGAGAACGGCTCGGGCGACCCATCTCAGGGATCAAATCTGCCCAGGGCACTTGAAAGGTAGAGCCGATATCGTAGGGTATAGAGGACGGGGCCATGCAGAAGGAAGAGGAAGAGTCGGGACGAGAAAGAACACCTTGGGCCTGGGCTGACGGGGAGAGAGGAGATGTCTGGACCAGCTACTATGTGTATGCCTTCCTCACCCAAACGCACCTCCCCAGCGGAAGCCAGTAAGGGTCAGTGAACTGGGGCAGAGATGCCGCAGAAAGTCAGCCTGTGCGGAGGGCCCTGTGCCGTGGAGGGGGTTGGATCAGGAGGGCTGCAGACTGAGTGTACGCCTAGGAATCTAGGGAGAATGTAATGTCAGCTGCTGCCCAGCGTAGGCCATTCATTTGCCTCTTCTTCCTGGACTCAAGCCATGGGGCAATGGCCTAAGTTCACGCTCACCAGGGACACCTGCCTGGCTGCAGGGTCTGCCTCTGATGAGGTGCCCTGGGCTAGAAGTAGGAGGTGGCAGGAGCTGGCTACCGCTTTGGTTTGTCCCATAGGGCCTAGACCCCGAGCAGTGGCAGGCCCCGCCTCACCTGGCCACATCCCGGAAGGTGCGCTGGTTGTCCTTGTCCAGCAACAGTGTCAGCAGCCTCTGGTCCTGGCTCTGGATCTGGATGTTGGCCGTCCGGAAGGTGTTTGTCACTGTCTGCAACAAAGAGATGGCTCGTGTGAGTGTCACCTGCACTCAGCACAAGGCCCTGCCAACACGGGAGGATCGCTTGAGCTCAGGAGTTCGAGACCAGCCTGAGCAAGAGTGAGACCCTACCTGTACTAAACATAGAAAAAATTAGCCAGGTGTGGTGACACGAGCCTGTAGTCCCAGCTACTAGGGAGGCTGAGGCAGGAGGATCGCCTGAGCCCAGGAGTTTGAGGTTGCTTTGAGCTAGGCTGATGCCACGGCACTCTAACCCAGACAACAGACTGAGACTCTGCCTCAAAAAAAAAAAGCCCTGCCAACATCTATCTTCTACCCTGGAATCTGGTGTGTTTCTTTGGTCTGGCACATGGGGTCCCCGCTGTCTTCCTGCAAGTGACTCTGAGCAGTGACAACTCTGCATAAACTGCTTCTAGGCTGCCTGTGCCCTTGGATCTCACATCATTTCTGCAGTTCTTTTCCAACCTGTTGCCCTTGATCTTGAACACAAACTGGAGTGCCGTGGATGGTGCTTGTCAGGTTGCCAAGTTACTTTTGTTATGTGTGTGACTTGGGGTATTTCAGGGGTTTTATAAATCTGACTCCAGTTCTCAGCACCAAATTATAACACATACAACACTATTACTTGGGGCAGACACAGAGGGTCTAGAAAGCAGCCAACGACCCCCAAGCCTCGGTTTGCCCAGGAAAGCAGCTCCAGGCATCCTTCTAACCCCCAACCTGAGGCCCCAGACAGGCCCGTCCCACTGGGCAGAGAACTTGGGGTGTCCTGGGGCTTTCAGAAGTCACTGGCCCATTGCACACACACAGCAGCTTTTGGTGATTTACAGCCACAGGACAACGGGGCAGCTGTGGCTGAACTCCAGCCGGGAGGCTTCAGAGTCCATCCCATCCAAGCTTTCAACCCTGGCTGCCCCCCGAGTCACCTTCCAAAAAACATAAAATTAGAGATTCTGATTTAAGTGACATGGAGTTGAGCCCAGGCATGGGCATTTTTTAAAAAGATCCCTGGCGTAGGCAGGGCTACAAACCACGGAGTTGATCCACTGTCTCATCGTCACATAGCAGAGGCTCGAGCAGCGGCCTCAGCTAGTGGGGTTGAGCTCGTCCTGGTGTTCCAGCTCAACTTTTGTGGGGGAGGGGGTGGGGGGCAGCCAGAAGTCTGTAGGCCTTGAAGGGAGGGTCAAGAGCACAATCTCTAAGCCAGACTGCCCGGGTTCTAATCCTGGCTCTGCCACTTATTAGCTGTGTGACCTTGAGCATGTTTCTCAATCTCTCTGTGCTACCTACCTTTTAGGACTGTTGTGAAGATTAAGTGGGACAGCATATGTTAAATGTGTGGAACAGTGCCCGGGACATGGTAAGAGCTCTTATTAATGTTGGGTGGTTATTATTAATGATTATAATTTTCCACGAAGGAGTGAAGCATGAGTAATGGACTCAGTAATGAAGCCTCAGCTGTCAGAGGGGAGGGGACCCTCCATGGATTCTTTCTCTCCTTTGTCTCCTAGGCCAAGTCCTCCTGTTGTCACCTATCCATGGACTCTTGTGCGTCTGCATAGGTGGGTCATGAGAAAAGACCGAAAGTTACCAAAACTGTAGGACGGGGCACCCCCGTAAGAGAAGGTAACACACAGGGAGAAAGAACTTCTCCCCTGCTGTCAGCAGAACCTGTGGCAGCTCTGGTGCCCTGGAGCTGTCACCCACGATGGGCAGTTGTGGTCAGGGGCACAGGTGGTGGAACCTGGTGGGCACTGGCCAGACAGCTAATGGGATGACTGTTGGCATTGGGACGTCATCCTGACCTTCCAGAAATACCTGGAGACACTTCAGGGGGCTCAAGTCCTGTCTGAGCTGGGGATGGGGGAAGCCAGGTGCCTTCAGTTTGCCATCGTTAATAGGACCACACCTGAACTGACAGCACCTGCTGAGGGACACTGACAGTTTCCACAGGGGAGGAGGAGACCTAGGCCCGGAGCCATTGAAGGGGACCACTAAAGGCTGCACAGTGGTCGGTGGGGGACCCAGCTCCCTGACTCCCGACGTCATGCTCTTTCTCTTGCATCAGGCTGCTCTGGGTGTCTCTGGCAGGACCTGGCCCTGCCTTCTAGGTCATCACGTACAGTCTCAGGCCTCCTCCCACCTGCCTGCAGTGTAGGCAGATGCCTTTTGCTTCCTTTTTGTGGTCTGCGTACATAGACAGACCCTATCTGCTTGGCGTTGGCCCATAGGAGTGTTGGATTTCAGTCTATGAATGCAGCCACGGAGGCCCGTGGAAAGGGCCAGAGGTAGTGTGCAAAGGGTCCCAGCCTCAGTAAGGTGAGTGGATGGGCAAAATGCTGCTAATTGTCTCCTGTTTTCTCTTGGTGGCTTCCTGCCTTCTACGTCCCAATGCCTCAATTCTTCTGTTGCTGCCTTCTCACTACTCTTCTGTATCAAACTTCCAATCTAGCCAAGGTCGTATGTTTGCTGACCCTTAAACTCGCCCATGCTGTTCTCAAAGCTGGGACTACCTCGTTCCTGCTCCCCGCGAGCCTCCTCCTGCTGCTCGGTGGTTTTCATCTGATCCATTTGGACAGAACAGGCACACGGACCTGCCAAGTTCCAAGAGGAGACTCGGCTACTGGAATTCCTCCCAGCGGGCCAGTGCAGGGACAAAAGGCAACTCGATGGAGTGATAAGTTTAGATTTTCAAAAAGCCCCTGAATAGGCTGTTTAAAGAGGTCATTGAAAACAGAAACCACTGTTAAGGAACTGACTTCGAAAGAGGAAATGCAACATAAGGGTAAACAGGTCCACCTTGAGCCTAAAGCTTAAATACTGGGCTGCCCTAAAGGAAGCAGATTTCAGCTCAAAATGGCAGATCTCTCAGCCAATCAGAGCTCTCTCCTGCAGTGGGTGGGCTGCCTCATAGAGTGAGCTTCCGGTTCCAGGATGAGATCTGGGATACAGTGGGTGGACTAGATCACTCGACACACATCTGGTGGGCCCCTGTTGTGTGCCAGACACCACGCAGAAGGCCAGGGAAATGGGGAACTGAGACCAGGACCCTGAGCCCAGGGTGCTCATAGGCCACTAACATACAAAGATCATGCCATTTATAGTGTCACAAATGCTTCCGTGGCTGTGTCCCCAGGGTTCTATAGGGTGCAAAGGTGGGGCACTTAGCCCACCAAGGAGTGGGGGAAGGGGGAAGAACATCAGCAAAGGCCTCCTGGGGGAGATGACACCTGAGTCTCATCTGGCAGGATGGGGAGGAGCTACAAAAAGAAGGTGGGGACGAGGAAGGGGGAAATGGGTCAGGCCAAGCAAACAGCATGAGCAAAGGCACAGAGATGTGACTTCAGGAACACTCCCAAACATCACAGAGGGAAGGGCCCAGAGAGAGTGGCCAGAGCTGCACTGAAGAGGAAGAGGAGCCAAGCTATGCAACATCAGAGAGTTTTTCTGCTCTTGGAGAATGGGAAATGGCAGAGGGGTTTTAAGTGCGGAGAGACATGGGCAGAGATGGGAAAGTGGACTTAATGAGCACTGGAGTGGTGCCAGGACTCCAGGTGGGAGGCTTGTGCATTCTCCAGGACAAGGGGATGGATGAAAGTCAGACTTAGGCTGACCACCTTGTCCTCATTTGCCCGGGACTTTTTTGGTTTTAGTACTGGAAGTCCCAAGTGCGGGGAAACCCCTTTAGTCCCAGGTAAACTGGGATAATTGTCAACCAGGCTGGACCCAGAAGGGGGAGGATGGGGAGCAAGGGAAAGATTTGAGAAGTGTTGGAGAGAGAAAACCTGCAGGGCGTGGGGAAGTGAGGAAGAGGAGGCAGCAGGGATGACACCCAGGTTTCCGGCAGAGGTGAGTAGTCAATGATGGTACCATTGAATGAGAGAAGAGAGCTAAGGAGGGGATGAAACGGAAGTAACCGCTAACACATACACAGCGTTTGCTCAGCCAAGCCCTCTTCTAACAGCTTCACGGGCCACAAACACTTCATCCTCAAACAGCTGGATGAGGTAGGCGATGTTGTAATATTACAGTCGGACCTTCCACATCTGTATATGTGGAACCCGTGGATACAGAAGGCTCAGGGACTGGAGCATTTGTGGATTTTGGTGTCTTCTGGTGTCCTGGAAGGAATCCCCTGTGGATACTGAGGGACTCTGTATCCCCGTTTGATGTAATGACACTGAATGAGGCACAGAGAGATTGAGTAACTCACCTAATGTCACATAGCTGGTAAATGGCAGAGCCAAGATCTGCTCCCAAGCAGTCTGGCTCTAGAGAGCTCTCAGCTATTCAAAGGTACTGGCTTTGGTTTTAAATGCCTTGAGTTTGGGGTGTTGTGGGACATCCAGTTCGGGCTAACCCAGGTGACTGCAGGAGTCAGGAGTCAGAAACTCAGGGCTAAACGTCAGAGCAGGAGATACGGATTTGGGAGTCCTTAACAAATTATACTAAATCTTTCTAAGTGGATTTGTAACAGTCCAGGAAATGAGAGAAGAAGTGAGCCATGGATAGAAGTCAAGAACAGAGTAGCTATATAAGAATTTAGGAAAAAGGGTTCAGGAAGAGGCCAAAGAGTGATAATCAGACATGTAGATGAAAAACTATAAGGAAATGGTGTTTCTGAATTTATGGATTTAGGGTATTTAAAGACTCAGAGAATGGAGCTTCAGTTCTATTGCTGAAACTGATTCAAAATTGACCAAAGGAATATGAAACTGGGGAAACCTCTATGACAGTGCTAGAAGACAGCTTCATCTGAGTGTTAGCATATAATTCATAATTTCAAATGTACATATTTTACATTTAAAGGTAACCATTGATAGAAGAAGTACATATAACTTCCAAATCATCAGGTGAGAGGAGTATTGAGCAAACAGTATAGCAAAATGAAACATAAAAACACAGCAAAAAGCATTTTTTAAAAAACCCAGAAAGCACAAAATAAGATGGCAAAGCTCAAGTAGCCCTTAAAGTTTGCACTGATGGATTAAACTCTCATTTGTTAAAAACAAATACGTTTCACAACAATGAGCGTATACTTAACACCACTGAACTGTATACTTAAAAATGGTTAAGAAGGTAAATTTTACATTATGTGTTTTTTTACCATGTATTTTTAAAAACCCACAAAGACTTTCAGACTGAATCAGAACAAAATCAAATTATATGCTATTTATAAGAGGCATATCGAAAATAAAATTAAAATTTTAAAAATAAAGAGATGAGAATTTCTGATTTTGAAATGGCAGAGTATATATTTTCTCATATTTTCCCTCTTATAATTCAGCTTGAAACAGGGAGGTGCACCTTTAGTGAAACTAGAAAGCACCTCAGGTCCTAGACCACAATCTTGTAGCACAGAGAAAGGACAGAGAAACGGCAGTGGGTAACTTATAGAAGAGGAAGGTCAAACATAAGGGTTCACTCTGGGAAGGCTTATGAGCTGGAGATAGCTGGTTCCACAGATGGTGGGGATGAGGAGGGGTCTGACAAAGGGGAACTGGTTGAAAGCTGGCATGACAGGTGGTTAGACTCCTCAGGTTCCCATTCTCCCTGGGCAGCCAAGCAATGAACCCGCCCCCTGCCATGGAAACCAGAGAAACAGAACCAGAGAGACTCTGGACTTGGGTAGATCACAGATGGAGGAGGATGGAGTGAAGTGCTGTACTGCAAATAGGTGGATTGCATGAAAGTTTGCTCACTGACTGGTGAAACCCCCAGTCCCCTTGCCCAACCCAGCTCCAGAGTGGCCCATCCCCTCAACCCAATTCACTCCCCAAGTTGGGAGCCAAAGGACTCATCTCTGGAAAACAAAACTATTCTAGAAAAGAGACCTGCTGATTAGGACATTTAGGTTTCCCTCTTGGAAAAGACTATGGCCTTCTGACTGCCCGCTGAGAAGCCCACCATTAACCCAGCACTTAGTGCCCCACTCATGATTGTGAACAGACAGCCAAGGATCACCAGATATTTGGAGATAGCCCCTAGCAGTACAGAGAGAGAGAGAGAGAGAGAGAGAGAGGTAAAAAGAGAGAAAGGCCACGACAAACAAACAGAAAATAGGAATTCAGAGGAAATAGACAACATTCAGGGAGCAGAAGCAAATTTCAAATAACCCATATTTGATATCTCCAGAGAGATAAGAGAAGTTACTGCATCCATGAAGCGAGAATAGAAAGAGTTTGTGAAGTTTAAACATTCAATAAACGAATTTGAAGAAAACTCCCATAAAGTGGGAACAACAATGGAAGGACACTGGGAGAGAAAAGATGAGAAAATTAGAGCATCAGTCTAGGAGGCCGAACATCCGACTAGTTATAGTTCCAGAAAGAGAAAGCAAAGAGATAAAGGGGAGGAAATTATTTTTAAAATTACATTAGAAAATATCTCAGAACTGAAAGATCCATGTCTCGTCTCCACACTGAGAATGTCCATCAAAAGGGCAAAATAATGAATGAAAAAAGATTCCACTGAATTATATTCTTGTGACATTCCGGAATCCTCTATGAAATGAAGCATCCAAAGCTTCCAGAAAGGAAAGAAAAAAAAATAGTCTCATACAAAGACCGGGCATAAGAAGGCATCATACTGGATAATAGCAGCATCAAAAATTAGAAGAAAATTCAGGTTCAAAGAAATGGAGATAGAATTGACAAAAGCAAAATCAGAGCAGGAATGTCGACAAACCCCTCTCAGTTTTGCACAGATGAAGTGGACAAAACATTTTTTAAATTTGTAGAATACAGTAATATAATGTATTTGATTTAATAGTTAAACATCATACTTTGTATGTTCTATGGATGGAAAACACATGTGCATTTTTTAGTTGCTGCAAGATATCAAACGGTTGATTATGTGCCAAGCGATGAAGAAAATGTCAATACATTCCAAAGAAGCCAATCGGATGCTTTGGCTGTCCTAAGGGCATTTGCTAGTCTCAGGAATCGAGGGGCTGGGGTTTCAACAGCCACAGGGGGATGGGAAGACAAGACCTCTTGAAGGTCATGCTCTCAGTGAAAGACAAGATTAGAAAAAAGAACTCCAGCCGGCATAGGAGACCACAGGGAGCCTGTCTGCTTTTGCTTGTGCTATGAGTGCATCAGAAAAACCTCCTGATGTGGGTTTGGGGTACATATTTACATTATCTTCATGGTCTGGAAATTTCTGAGCCAGAAATGAACTCAAAATATGGCCCTAGGCTGATAACATCACGGGGGCACTTGGCAAATGCAGAGTTAATACAGAATTTCTCTAGAAGGACAGTTTTTCCACCAGCTTGCCCACAGATAAAGCCCCAACAAAATGAGAGTTCATAATCGAGGAAACACACAAGGAAATAAGCTACCATGGGGGTCAGTGAATGCAATAAACAGAAGGATTAGATGTCTACTAATTATAGATAATGTAACTACATAAATAAGATTATAAAATAAAAATGTTTAAATTGAGTAAAAAAATAAAAGAAGGCATTAGACCATGTGAAACAAACAACATATTAAATAGGCATGCCATTTTCATTGATTCTAAAACATATTTTTCCCCCATATTTTAACATCTCTGAAATTAGGAAGTATTTTGCAACCAATGTGATTAGAAAGCATTGTCCATAGTTTAGGTTTCATTGGTTCTTTCTTAGTATATGTAAAATTATGGTATGTCCTAAATTTGATGAGATGTGATGTTCAGACATATGTCATGGATAAACATATCAGAGTCAAGGGCTGGGCATGGTGGCTCACGCCTGTAATCCTAGCACTCTGAGAGGCCTAGGCGGGCCAATTGCTCAAGGTCAGGAGTTCGAAACCAGCCTGAGCAAGAGCGAGACCCCGTCTCTACTATAAATAGAAAGAAATTAATTGGCCAACTAATATATATAGAAAAAATTAGCTGGGCATGGTGGCACCTGCCTGTAGTCCCAGCTACTCGAGAGGCTGAGGCAGAAGGATTGCTTGAGCCCAGGAGTCTGAGGTTGCTGTGAGCGAGGCTGACGCCACGGCACTCTAGCCTGGGCAACAAAGACTCTGTCTCAAACAAAAAACAAAAAAACAAAAACATATCAGAGTCAGAAATCATTAAAGGAAAGTAGTAGGTTTTGCTACATCACAATATAAAGCTGTTTTGAGTAAAAAACAAAACAAAACAAAAAAAACCATTAAAAGACAGCCTGGGAAAAATTATTTCCAAAATATACGACAAATAAGGGGTTAATGTCCTCTTATTATAAAATGAAGACACCACAGTATTAATATAGGATGAGAATATAAATAGGAAATACATGAACGAAGAAATAGAAATTATCAATAAATAATTGATAATTATTCAACTTCACTAATTTTGGTAATGAAAGAAATAAATTAAAATAATAAAAAGTTTGACCATCAAATGTGCAAAGATGACAAAGTCAATCAATATGTTAATTATGTTGCAAAACTGGCATTCAAACATTACAGTGAGGGTAGAACTTGGTATAGACTTCTGGAGAACAATTAGCAAAATATATAAAAAGTCCTACAATATGAATGTCATCTGACTGAGTGATTTCACTTCTAAGCATTTTTTAAAAAGTCATAATGCTGATTTTTAACACATCTTTCTCCCTAAGGATGTTCTTCATACTATGCTTATAATAGTGAAAAATGAGAGCATACTTAAATGTCTTGTAAGAATTCATTTGAACAATTATACAGGCATATGCAACCATCATATAATAAATATTTAATGAAATGTACTTAATGACACAGAACATTTAATGATATAAGCAAGGTCCCACCAAGACATATTCACAAGGCTTTAGAATATTTTTTAGTAAACATCAAGTTGCAGACCAGTATGTACTATAGCTCTCGATTATATGAAAATATATACAAAAAAAGGCTGGGTGTTTACACCTGAGAATGTTAATGGTCACCCTCTCCAGGTAATGGGACTACTAGTGAATTACTTCGTTGTGCTTTTTGTATTTCCTAAAATAAAGAATAAAACTTTTGTTTATAGGTTAAAATGTTATCTTTAGAAAAAAAGAATTAAGAAATATAAGGACCAAAAAGTGGCCAAGGGTTTTGGCACCATGGAGGTGACTTTGCTACAATACAGTGTGTATAAGCAGCCGGTCGTGGGTAGAAGAGTCCTTGTTAAGGGACTAGAAACTCTTCTAGAGGTTTCTTTCAAGGAGTTTGACCAAGAAGAGAGAGAAGGAGATAGAGCAAGTAGCTAGAGAGGCGGGAGGATCATGGCAGAGAGTTTTTGCTTTTCTTTAAGATGGAAAAGACCTGAGTGTGTGCATAGGTGAAGAGGGAGGAGCAGCAGAGAGGCAGAGGCCAAAGCCAGAGAAAAGAGACGGCAAATAGGAGGAGGGGAGCCGGGAGAGGTGGCCAGAAAAGGGCTGAGTGATCCCAAGGGTCAGGGGAGACGGGAGGGCATGAGTTTGGCTGTGGCTGTAATCACCCTGGATGCAAGATTTATTGCAGAAGCACTCAGCCACCTGGGCATAGGGACTGAGTCGGTGGCTGGCCCTGTTGTGGGGTGGGAGCCTGGTGGGGGCTGAGGGAGTGGGGGATGCCAGTGAGAACGAGGTTCAGGCGCAGTCACGGGGCTCCAAGGCTGAGCTGAGCGGGGAAGGGAAGTCCAGAGAGGCCGTCTGATGGGAAGAAAGTGTGTGGGGTCTCACATCTGTACCAGTATCAGTAGGGGCAAAGGGCAAAGGGCAAGAGGCAGAGGTGGGGCAGTGGGGTGGAAAGAGCTGCCTCGATTTGGTCAAAGGCTGGGCAACTGTTGTTTAGGAGTCTGGCTGGGCGTGGTGGCCGAGGGTGACAAAATGAGGGTGTGTTTTGCAGTGGCCTGGGTGTGTCTGAGGTCCTCGGGCAGTCAGCACATGGACGGCCTTCCCTCTACCAGCTGGCGCTCTGTATTTCAGACAGTCTGACTGGAAAGTGGGTTCTTTCCGACAGGAAGACCCACTGGGTAGCAAAAGCTCAGAAAGGCTCAGAGGTCAGCTTTCTCGGAACACCCTCCTTCCGGCTCCCAGCCACCTACCCACGTCCCATCTGGCCACCCCGTTCCCAGTCCACCAGGTACTTACAGAGAAGGACCTGCCCGCCAGGTTGGAGGACTTGACGACCTCTGTCACGCTGACATTCAGACACGTGTGGTCTGTCACAGGGGCGGCAGTTGGGGGGTACTGGGAGGGCCCTGAAATGGAATGAAATTCGGGGACTGTGACTAGCAGGGAGTCTGCAATTCTCAGTCCTGAGAAGACCTCCATGAACCCACCTTGACCCCTCACCCCCAGTGTAACCCCACACTTCCCGATTCCATCTGGGTCCCAGCCACACCTCAGTTCCTTCCTTTTTTTCTTTTCTATTTTTTTTTTTTTTTTTTTTTTGAGACAGTCTCACTTTGTTGCCTGGTCTAGAGTGCAGTGATGTCAGCCTAGCTCACTGCAACCTCAAACTCCTGGGCTCAAGCAATCCTTCTTCCTCAGCCTCCTGAGTAGCTGGACTACAGGCATGCACCACCATGCCCGGCTAATTTTTTCTATATGTTTTTAGCTGTCCAAGTAACTTCTTTCTATTTATAGTAGAGATGGGGTCTCGCTCTTGCTCAGGCTGGTCTTGAACTCCTGAGCTCAAATGATCCATTCGTCTTGGCCTTCTAGAGTGCTAGGATTATAGGCGTGAGCCATCTCGCCCGGCCCTCAGTTCCTTCCTAATCACCCATCCCCTTTCCCTGGTGAACGCACAGGTTTCTGTACCCTCGGGCCCAGCAGCCATCACCAACCCAAACCCCCACCCACCACCTTTCTCATCTCCTCCTGCACCGCCTTTTTCAAAGGATGAAAGTTCTGTTGAACTTCCCTGCCACCATCTGGCATGCTAGGATGTAAGGAATACCTAGCCCAGGATGTTGTGCAGGACAGTCACCAGGGGTGACACTGGTCCCAACAGGCTCAGTGTTTCTTTGACTTTCTTAATAGTGTATAGTGAGTCGAAACTCACTCTTGTGTGACTCCCGATGGGCTTAATCCCTCCCTGGCAGCTAAAGAGGGCCCTCATATGTCTGTGCCCCTAATGGGCTTCTGGAATCACTAGATCAGTTCTGATAGGGTCTGGAGCAGGGTGGGAGGGGTGACAGTTTTGTGAAGGAAACAGAAGGAATACAATTCTAACAACAAGAGCTAACATTTATTGTTTACTGTATGCACACAGATTAGTGTCTATTATTTCCATTGTAGAAGTGAAAAAAAAAACAAACAAACAGGTAGCAAGGTCACAAGTAACTTGCTCAAGGTCACCCAGATGGTAAGTGGCAAAGCTGGGGTTTGAGCCCTGCCCGTCTGGCTCTTGATCCTGCGCTAGGACCCCTTGCTCCTTAACCACCTCTAGGTTATAGGAGCTACTGCCAAAGTGACAGGTCTCCTTCATGTGGTTCAAGAGTATCTCGCTGTGAAACAGTTTCATATGTTACCCAGGAATTTAACTCACCTGGAAGCCATTTTATCAGGAAGTGATATCACTTGAGTTTTTTCTTTGTGCCAGATGCCAAGAAAATTGAGGCGCCATGCTGCCCATTTCAGAACACAAATGTGTCACACACAGACAGGGGTCATAATGGGAGAGCTAGCAGAGCCACAGAGAGTTTTAGAGACAGGGCAATCACTCGTAGTTGGATAGGGGAGGAGGAATTAGCGTTGGCTTCCACGTAAGCATTCCAGCCTGGCTAATGCGTATTTTCACTTTATGATTCTTCTGGAATATTCCAAATGTATTCATTTTTTTTTAAATGTTTGGGTGGAAGTAGTACTTCATTTATTCAGTAAATCTTTACCCAGAATCCGCTATGTGCCAGGGCACGAGCTGGACACTGGGGATAGAGTGGTCATGAGATATAACTGCCTCAGTGAACTTTCTAATTCGCTCTGGAATGATCTTCTACGAGCATCTGTGGTTAACATCCCTTAAGTCTAGGCTGCTGAGCTTTGGCGATCAGAGGGAGGCAGTGTGGGGCAGTGGGGAGGAACACAGCCTCCTGCCTGGGGACATCTGGCTGTGAATCCCAGTCCTGACTCCTCCTCACAGAGATGACCTTGAGTAAGTTACTCTCTTGGCTTCAGTTTCCTCTCCAGTAAAAAAAAAAAAAAAAAGTTGCTAAAACTAATACCTACCTCACAGGGTGAACATGCTTAAAAGAGTTAAAATGTTGAACACAGAAGGCTGCCTGGCCTCTGGCAGGCGTGTGCAATGGTTAGTGATCCATGCTGCCATCCTTGCGTTGCTCCCGGAGACCAAGATCTCACAGTAAGAGCTAATATTTATGATTTACTATATGCACATAAGTTGGCATCTTTTATTATCGCAGTTTTCTTGGAACAACATTCAAAATCCAAAATTTCCAAACAATGCAACTGGCCCTGCAGGTCCAGTGCAGAGGCAGGAGGCCAACTGCAACCCCTCCCTGGGGTCCCACCACCTTCTAGCTGCGTCCCACCGGGCTGCAGAGGTCAGTCCCAGAGTGTGGTCACTCCACGGTGAACAACCTGAGGGCAGGGACCACATGCCCCCTATCCCCTGGGCAGCACCGGTGTCCAGCCCTGGGCTCGGCTGGAGTTCTGGGACCCCAGGCATGATGAGGGGCTCCCCCCATCTCTATCGCTCGGCCTTCTTCCCTCCTCTCTCCCCAGCTACCCCCTGCTTGTCCCTTCCTTCTTTCTTTTTCTTGCAATCCCAGCTCCTCACCTTCTGTGTCACTGGCTGGAATGGCCTTCAGGACCAGACCAGTGGCCCGCAGGAAAACGGTGACCTCTCGGGGCCGGTTGCTGAGCAGGGCCTGGGGAGGGGGATGGAGGAACAGGTGGGGGTCCTCAGGACATCTCCCCCCACGAATCCCCACATCCACAGTCTGCCTCTGCCCCCTGCTTTCCACCCTGCCCTAAGAGTCTTGCCTGTCCCTGCGGTCCCGTAAGGGGCCAGGAGATAAAGGCTCACAGAACTCCTAGTCCCAGAAAGCAAATTCCACCTTCCAGATCCAAAGAGAAAAAGCCCCAGTGACATCAGTTCAAGCATCTGGTCAGCTATCGAGGAAGATTTTTTTTTTTTGAAACAGAGTCTCACTCTGTTGCCCTGGCTAGAGTGCTGTGGCGTCAGCCTAGCTCACAGCAACCTCAAACTCCTGGGCTCAAGCGACCCTCCTGCCTCAGCCTTCTGAGTAGCTGGGACTACAGGCATGCGCCACCATGCCTGGCTAATTTTTAGATATATTTTTAGTTGTCCAGCTAATTTCTTTCTATTTTTTAGTAGAGACGGGATCTCACTCTTGCTCAGGCTGGTCTCGAACTCCTGAGCTCAAACAGTCTGCCCGCCTCGGCCTCCCAGAGTGCTAGGATTACAGGTGTGAGACATGGCCTGGCCAGAGGAAGATATTTTTGAGCAAGGAGCCAGCCCCCTTGTTCTTTAAATCAGATCACTTCCTTGTCTATACGTAAGGTAAACTTAACCCACCCAGCCCTGCAAAACTCCCCAAAGGCTGGGACACTCTAGGGGCAGCTTCAAGAAAAGGGGCAGAAGGTTCCTTTGGCTCTGTCTCCAGGCCCCCTCCTGATCATCGCGCCCACGCACACTGACCTTTTGGTAGCACATGGACAGCTCCGCCCCGGGGCCCTCAGCCATGCCTCTCCTCCTGGGGGAAAAACCATCTGAGGGGAGATGAGAAGGGGCTCAAGGGCGAGGCTTGGAGGGGCCTGGGACAGCCCTGGCATTCAGCAGAGGTGTGGGGACAGAGGGGGGGATGTAGGGGGACGCAGGCATCATTAGGTGAGAGGTGAGAGGAACAGGGTGTGGGGGAAGCTGAGCCAGGGCGACATGGACAAAGGGAAGCCAAGGCTCACCTTTGGGGAATTTGGAGTCTTGGATCTTCACCTTCAGCTCAGTGAGGAAAATGTCCTCTGCAGGGTCTTGGCTCAGGTCACTGAAGAAGATCTGGAGAGAGGAAGGGCGGGAGGTTTAGACAAGGCTGACTCGCTAGACCCAGGACAGCTCCCTGCACCCCTGCAGCCCCAGGACGTGGCCGGCTGGGAAAGTGTCCAGAAGCAGGCAGGTGTCCCCATCCGTCCTGCCAGCGCTGCAGGCTGCTTTAAAAACTGCCTGGGTTTGAATCTGTCCGTATCTACAGCAAAACAACAGGTTTATAAATAGTGGCAGAAACTCACTGAAAACCCAAACCACCTGGTAGCCGCTACTGTCTAACAGGGAGGACAGGAAGGAGCAGGGGACAAAGCCGATGTCAGGGAAGGGTAATAAAATCTCTTGTAGACGCTGGCAAGGACAGAAGGCAGAGCTCAGCCCTGGGACGTGCACAGAGAAGCCATCGCTGTGCAAGGGAGGGCATGTGGCGGCTGATGTGGAGCCCTGGCAGAAATTCAGGAGGAGGAGCCCGGGAGAAAGGCGGCAGGGAAAGGGGAGGCCGGGTGTGGGTGGCGGGAGACAGAGGGCGCCCCAACAACGTGGAAGAGTGGCCAAGGGGCTTTTGAGAACAGGGATGTGGGCAGGCAGCCTCCCCCTGAAGGCTGGGAGCTGGCCTGGCACTCACAGTGAGACCACGGTGTCCTGGTGACCCTCAGCAATTCACAGATGCCGACATCATTGGCAAGGCCACTGTGTGAGCGTGACCCATCAAGACAAGAACTAGACATTCCAGAATGTGTGCCGCCATCCCTGCCCTCCCGTCCCAGCCAAACACGAGTAACCGCCGAGTCCTTGGTCTTTTCAGTAAGAACCATAGAGGTCCCCTGTCACAGAATTACTCCCACGTCCTGCCAGCACCAATCCTGAGCACAGTCCTGCTTTCTGGAACCCTCCCCCACCCGCCCAACACAAGCCCCTCCTAAAACACGCTCTTTCTCACGGCGTCTCTCTGCCACGCGTCCTGGTCCCCCATGGTCCGCGCCCTCCGTCACCTCAGCACGACACCAAACCCACCTTCCTGCAGTGGCAGCTGTGCACCTGGTGCCACGTGTTTCATTTTAAGGTATTCGTGCTGCTGAGACGTTTACCCTCTTTACTGTCTTGAGAGGCTTTTCAGTTTGTGTTGTGTTATTTTGTTTTGCATTTCTGGAAATCAAAGAGCGAGCTTAAATGTAGGTCAAAACCAGGAAGGCGCCACCAAGAAAAGACCTAGCGCAGGACGCAGAGTGAAGAACAAGACTTCAGTAAGACAGGAAAGTACAGGCAGAGGGGGCCACGAGAAATCAGTCCCCCGGTTCTCACAGGCGTCGCAGGGGCCCAGGGGTGTGGCGCCGGGCCTTCCCTGGAACAAGGAACGGGGCGTCAAGCAAATGTGAGTTAGATTCTCAGTAGCAGGTGACCCCGGCTGAATTCTGGGATGACGCACCTGTGTCCCAGTCTGTGTCGCAGTGGTTTGCTGTAGGAATATGAGCAGACCAGACCTGAGAGCCACCAGGAGCACAAAGGCTCAAAGGAACAAGGGACCGAGGCCCAGGAGGGCTCAGGAGTCACTTCTGTTGAGACCTTGTTCTGCACTGGGCCCTCTGTAGGCGCTTGGCCCACATCATCTCACCCAACGCTCCCAGCAAGCCTAGGAGGAAGGTGTCATTAGCCTCATCTTAGGAACCTGAGAACTCAGGCTCCAGGGTGTTACGTGACTCGTCCAGGGTAGAAAGAGATAATAGCACAGCTGGGGTTCTTGTCCATGTTCTTTTTTTTTTTTTCTCTGAGACAGAGTCTCACTCTGTTGCCTGGGCTAGAGTGCCGTGGCATCAGCCTAACTCACAGCTCAAGCGATCCTTCTGTCTCAGCCTCCCGAGTAGCTGGGACTACAGGCATGCACCACCATGCCCGGCTACTTTTTTTCTATATATTTTTAGTTGGCCAATTAATTTATTTCTATTTTTAGTAGAGGTGGCGTCTCGCTCTTGGTCAGGCTGGTCTCGAACTCCTGACCTTGAGTGATCCTCCCGCCTTGGCCTCCCAGAGAGCTAGGATACAGGCATGAGCCACCGTGCCTGGCCTCATCCACATTCTTAACCACTGGTCGGCATCTTTTGTGTGCTGACCTCGCCCTCGTCTTCCTCCACCTCTTTACTATATTTTCTAGTCATTTGAATTCTCGCAATAACCCTGTGGCAGGTGAAGGTTATTATTCCTGTTTTAAATATGGGGAAATTAATTTTAGAGAGTGCCTGTGACCACACAGCTGGTCAGTGAAGGAAGTAGGCAGCAAAGCCACGCGTGTCGTCCTGCTCCACGCTGCCTCTGCCTGCCCGCCCAGCCACCCAGCCAGGCCCTCGACCGTGCACACACACACACACTCACACTCACACTCTCTATTGTGTTAACAGAAGGAGCTTCAAGGATGAACAAAATGCAGTCCCTTATCCCAAGGGTCTCCCGTGACATACCTGCAGGTCTATGACAAAGTGCCCAGAGGAAACGCTACAGCTGTGCCCAGAGCACTGTGGAGCACAGAGGAGGAGCACCTGCCCAGCTGGGGGTGAGGGGAGCAGAGGTCAGAGTTGCTGCGACTGAGAGTGGAAGAGGGTGAAGGGGAGGGTGTGGGGTGCGGGAGAGAAGGGCATTCCAGGCCCAGGGCCCGCACGAGCAAGGCGTGGAAGACCTAGATGGAATGAAGGCGCCAGCCGGGCCGAGCCGCAGCTCTGAAGGCCACAGAGCAGGACAGATGAGGGGATAGTGTTACAGGGGTGGAGGGAGGGCAGCTTCATGAAGCTTTCATTTTCGTAACTGTGACAGAAGCTCGGCTATTATACATTTAATTGTATGAACAAAGGAAACGTGCGGTGGCCGACTGTCCAAGGCAGTAGAGAGGCCCAGTGAGACAGGACCAGAGAACGTCCCCTGGGCTTGGCAATTGGAGGCCGTTGGTAAATGGCTTCAGAGGAGCCAGCTTGCTGTTCCACGATCGATGGGGATGGAGGGAGATGGACGAGGCAGAGATAAAACCGAAGCCCACAGAAAGTCTGACCTCGGTGATCTCCTGTCCCAAGCTCCATGCACACCCTCAATGGGAAAATACATGGAACTTCATAGGCTCCAAAGGTTGTTCTGTTTGATATCGGTCACCAAGACAAAGGAAGGGGAGGACCCGGTGAAAGGAGGTGATCGAAGGAAAAGGCGCAGGAGGAGCAGGCTCAGAAGGTGCAGGAAGAGGTGGCTCAGCTGAGTCGGGCAGGGTGAAGGGGTTCGGCCTGTGCTGCAGGAGGCCACATCCACTGTGACGATAGGAATGGGTATGGATGCATTTCTGGGTATGCACAGGAAATTTAGGGGGACCCAATGGCCTCTGCTTTTTTAGTTCAGTGGAGTGGGTGCAAAAGGCATTTGACGAAAGAGTGGTGAGGATTGGAACAGCCATTGTTCCAGAGGACCAGGGAGCTGCCAAGGGGGCACTGTGGGCACTGCTGAGGCTGGACACCTCAAATGTGGAGGGACATCGAGCCAAAGGGCTTTGGATGTGTCTCCCCAGGTGGTTCTCAGAAGCTCAAGTTTAGCAAAGGTAAAGCACATCTGAGACCTGTCTGGGCATGGGTGTTGCTGGAAGGGAGACAGCAGGGAGGGTGCATAGGGAAGTGGGAGACAGGTAAGAGACCAGTGCAGGGGAAACTGACTGGCAGGAAAGGAGGACAGGCAGCAGCACTGAGAGATGGTGAGCAATCAAATTGGCCTGAGGTCTCTGCTGAAAAGGGATGTGGAGGGAGAGAAGGTGATGCGGGCAGTTAGCTACGCTACCAGCAAAAACTTCGGTCCCTTAGGCAGGGGTTGTCACAAAGGACAAGAAAATAATAGAATAGAGAAATAAAAGAATACACAGAGACGAAGGTATAGTTTTATAGATTTATGTAAAGAAAAAGCAAAGCAGAGGTATTGGAGGGTCCCCACAATATCTCCACTAATTGTGAGCCAGGAGTGAAGTTTCACATGGGTATTTTTAAGTACAGATATCGGTTGCCAGGGAGTAACAGATTAACATAATAACAGGTAGTTCGGTTTAGCTTAAAAGTTTTTCAAAAAGCTTCTATAGATCCCTTAATTAACTCTATCTATGTGAACAAACGGTTACAAAATTTTTCAAAGACAAACTTCTAAGTTCTAAGATATAGCTATCACTTAACAGAGGGGTTACACAGAGATATAGTGGCTCCATATTTCTTTATCTAGTTATTGTGAATGGAGACAAGAAGTCAGGAGTGAAGCAGGAATTGTCCCTTGGGCTAATTGCTTTTAGCCATAGGTGTCTGTCTCTCGGGTGGGCACTGTTTGATTAGCTGTCATCCTGTGGCTCTGTGCAAACCTGCTTTGTCATTCAAAGCAGGCAAAATCCACAGGTTTGAGACTGCAGCATCACCTTGGAAAGCAGCTGGTACCAACCTTTGAGACGCCCTCCTTAGCCGAGACAGCCTTTGATATCCAAACTAACACATTCACATATTCCTTCAGGGCAAAGTCCTGCAAAACTCCTGAAATCATTTGTCTCTCTAATATTGTAGGGGGCATTTCAATAAAGAATAATTTTATGGAGTGACAAGGTGAGAGTGCCTTGAGCAATGGAAGTTCTGACCAGAGCCTGGAAAACAGAGTTCAGGATTTCCAAGGTAAAGTATTTCCCGAGATGACTTCCACAGCACCCTAGCCCTGGCTCCCACTTCTCCAAGAGGCCAGGCAACGAAGTCTACTACCACTTGGATTTGAAGTCTTATAAGTTAACAGTGATCTGATTCATCCAGAAATTAAGAAGGTAAAATTAACAACCAAGACAGTCTGGGTGTGCTGTGTTCATGACTTCCAGCCTAGTGACTGGGGTTTCCCCAGTGCCAGAGTATTTAGGCTGTGGGTACTGGGCTCCGGCAGGCTGGCATGACACCCCAAGAGCCCCAGATGGGATGCTTACCTTGACCGTGTAGATCTGGAAATAGATGGGTTGGGTGCCCATGCGAACATAGTAGGTGATGACATCCAGGAGGAAGGGGTCCACAGTCCGGGACATGTCCAGTGAGGGAGGCTGTGAGGGAGACAGGAAATGTCTTCAGCCGTCTTCCTCCAGGCTACTGTGGGAGGGGCCACTTTCTTAGTAGGGAAACTCCAAAGCCCCGACATAGTCTCTGGGATGCACTAACCCAGCTAGTCCGTCAACACATTCTGAGCCTTTCCTACTGCCTGATTTCTACTCCTTATCAACATATACCTGTCCAGAGAGCCCCGTCTCTCCAGGGAACACAAACATATATTGAGCACCTCTATGTGGAAGGCACTGTGCTGAGTGCTTGGGGTGACAAGAGGCTTGAGCGTATAACTAATGATGAAAGACTCCGGTGGGGGTTCTAGGTTTAGATTGCTACTTGCCATTGGCGAGGTGGCTGTGGAGAGTTATTCAAACTTTTTGAGGCCTGAGTTTCCTTCTAGGGAAAATGAGACGTAGAGCCACGTGATCTTATGTCTCTTTCAGCTCTAGTGGTCTCTGGGTATATTAATAAACTAATTAATGTTTGCATGTTGTTGGGAATGGACTATGTCCTTGTCCTGCAGGCCCTCCCAGTCCCATATGATTCTAAAGTGTAATGATTGGGTTGTTCAAGCAAACATGACAGAAATCTACCTAGAATGTGATAGTATCAGAGTTTGAAGGAAGTGGAGAGTTTATCTCATCCAACTCATATCCAATCCTGCAAAATCACTTCTGACTTTCACATCCGGTCTGTTGGAATACTGTTCCCTTTGGAAAGGTCACACTGAGGAGCTGTGAACTTATTCTGATAATGCTGTTATTGCTCATGTTTCCAGCGTCTTCATGTGGAAACTGCTTTGGAGTAAGCATAAGGACCATGCAAATTGTTAATTATAAGGGAAAAGGAAGCAGGGAAAACCTGAAATCTTACATGTGTCCTGGCAGGGAAAAGAAAATCTACCAACAAAGGAGCACCACTGAGGCCTGCAATGAGTGTCCCTCCTGTGATGTCCTCCAAGTTTCCAGGAAAAGCATTTTAATACCCAGCTAAGAGGTCCTCTGTGTATATGCAAAGACATTTTTAGATTAGGTATAATTCGGAAAGCATGCACACCCCAAATATCTTTATTTGAATAAAATATATAAGAAGATAACTCAGGGCCGGGCGCGATGGCTCATGCCTGTAATCCTAGCACTTTGGGAGGCCGAGGCGGGCGGATTGCTCGAGGTCAGGAGTTCAAAACCAGCCTGAGCAAGAGCGAGACCCCGTCTCTACTAAAAATAGAAAGAAATTAATTGGCCAACTAATATATGTAGAAAAAATTGGCCGGGCATGGTGGCGGGTGCCTGTAGTCCCAGCTACTCGGGAGGCTGAGGCAGCAGGATCGCTTGAGCCCAGGAGTTTGAGGTTGCTGTGAGTTAGGCTGACACCACGGCACTCACTCTAGCCCGCTGGGCAACAAAGCGAGACTCTGTCTCAAAAAAAAAAAAGATAACTTAATCGATCAAGTGCTAAAGCAAAAGGGAGAACTCAGTAAAGTGGCGAGTAAAAAATAAAAGTGTATAAGAAGGTAAATTGTATGTTGTGTGTTTTTACAATTTAAAAAATGAAAATAAATAAATATGTACAAATCAGTAGCTTCCTTTTATACTAGCAGTAGCTACTAATCAAATATAATGGGAGAAAAATACCATTCACAACAGCAAGAAACATTAGCAAACATCAGGGGTAATTTTAGCAAGAAATGGGCAAAAGCTATATGATGAAAATTGTACTATTATACTGACGGATATACAAGATGACTTTAATAAATGAAGAGCTATACTATGCTCCAAGAGAGGGAAACTTAATATGCTAAAGAAACTAATTCTTTTCCAATTTTCGATCAAAATCCCAATAAAATTTTTACAAAATAAAAACAAAACTTGAAGTGAAATTCTAATGTTTATCAGAAAAGATAAACAAGCGTAGTCTGAAAAGTTTTGAAAAAGAAGAGTAATGGGGTGGACTTGCTTTGCCAGATATCTAAATACAAAAGTGCCAATTTGTACAGAAATGACTAGCTCAAGGATAGAGAACAGGTATCCAGAAATAAACCTAAGCATGTGTAAGAATTTAGCACATGATAAAAGTGCATTTCAAATGGATGAGGCAAATGGCTTATGCAATAAATAGCTTTAGGACAACTAGCTCAACATTTGAAACAAAACAAAATTACATACTTCACGCTAAACACTAATGTTAATTGCAGATGGGGTAATTATTGAAATGCATATATTGAGACAGGAAAAGTGTGAGAGTAAATTATCAGTGAATATTGATTTAACCTTTCAAAGCAGGACTCCAAAGGCAGAAACTATAAAGAATGCAAGTGCTATGTCTGACTACATAAAAATATTACTTTTTGCAAGTCAAAAAAAACTGACAGGCAAGTTACAAAGTGGGAAAACTGCCTGCAACATACAAGACCACAAAAAGGGTAGGGTTCTCTTGATTTATTAAAGCCTCTTCAAATCCTGGCCGGGTGTGGCCGTGTGGTCGTGGTTGAGAGCGTGTGCTGCCAGGTTGCATGTGGGATTCTACCGCTCATTTTGTCACTTCCAGGCAAGTTACCTAATCTCTTTACACCTGAGCTGCTTGATCTGGAAAACGGGGACCACAGCGCCTACTGACAAGAGCACCTCCTCTGGGCTGCAAGAGCATGAAATGAGCTAGTCCTTCCTACACGTGCTTAGGACAGTGCCTGCCACACGGTAAGTACTCAGGAAACATCATCTGTTAACAATCACCGAAAAGTGATCGGAGGAACCTCACAAAAGAAGGAATGTAATTGGCCTATGCACTGATGAAAGAATATTTTAGTTCGTTTTTTCCCTTGTGGTCTGATCCAAAGTTGGTGCCTGGAAAGTGTTCCGAGTGAATTCAAAACCACTAGCTGGATCGTTTCTCACGTTCCCCTCCTGCCTCATCCTACAGGCTGACTCTGGATGTCAGGGGTCAAGTGCAATATCTGGAAAAGCAGTTCCCTGCCACCCCTGTTCCACCCTCCCTGCCCCATGGTGTCTTCTGCCTACCCCTTGCCCAGACCCTGGGCCCCGCCCTCCCACCATGTACCCTCGCTGCCCCTACCATCTCAGCCAGCTTGTGGATGGCGGGGCACAGGGTGTTGACCGTGCTCTCGTACCATGGGTCCGCGCGGCCCAGGAACGCGGCCAGCTCTCCCAGCTCGGGCTGCCTGGATGCTGCAGGCTCCTGGGGGTGAGGGAATGGGGCAGACCCGTCAGGCACCTGCTCTCTGGCACCCTCTTCCTGGCTGGAGGGACCCCAGGGGCCATCAGCCTAGGCTTTGTGAATGTGGTCAAATCATTTAACTTCTTGGGGCCTCGATTTCTGCACATGGAATTACTGTTCTGTTCTATGAACTGAGATGAAGCTGTGATACCCTTTGCTGAGGGCCACTTTCAATGCCAGGGTCATTGAAAAATGACTGGGACTCTCTCCCCAGACTTAAAAGTGGAGAGACAAGTATGGCTTTGACCTTATTTTTCATCCATAGGAAGTGGAGCGTGCAATGGAAAGTAAAACCTGCAAGTGCGGCTACATCTCCTTGGCTAATCAGCGAGTTTCCACTGCCTGAACTTTCCTCCCATGCGGTCCCAGGAAGTGTGGGGGGTGTGCGTGAGTGAGAGAGAGAATTCCATTACAAAAACAGCAATGAGCAGGCTGCCACCGTGAGGGAACCTATCTTTGGCCACTTCCAGCCCCCAGAGCCCCCATCTGTGGCTTCTGAGACAGAAGACCCTGGAGGTCTCCCCCAGCCCCACACTCTGGGGATGGTGGTTCTAGTGCCTGAGCTGGGGACACGAGGCCACAGGTGTTTCCCTGGCCAGCCCTGCCCCCCTCCTAGGCCCCGGCTCCTGACCGCACCCCGCGCCGCCCCCAGCCCAGTCACCTTGGGCGCCAGCACAGGGACATAGTAGAGCTGCAGGCTGAGTCTGGGCGTGAGGCAAAACTTCTGGCTCTCCCGTTTCCTGGCAGTGGGCAGCAAAGCGTAGCGGGTAAGAGCAGGGTTTGGCTTCAGGCTCGGCTCATCCTGGCCCTGCCATTTATTATCTCTTGACTCTGGGCAGTTGATGTCAGCTGTCTGAGCTCTATGTTCTCAGCTATAAAATGGGCAGAGTAACGCCCACCTTACAGCACGGTGCTCTAAGGTGGCCACGCACGGGGTGTCCTCCCCTGTCCCTCCCTGGCCTCTGCCTCCTGATCTCCTGCCACTCCTTGATCCTGCACCAGCCTGTGCCAGGCTCCCCTGTACCCTCGGCCCGCCCGCGCCCCCGCCGCTGCCCCGGGGCCCTACCGGAGTCTGTGGTAGGCCTGGGCCAGGCGCCCCAGCATCCTGTCGTCCCCCAGCACCAGCACCCGGGCTGTGTGCAGCCGGGAGACACCGGGCAGCAGTTCTCCGTCCCCGCTGGGCCTGCCTGTCCTCCGGTGCAGCCCCGGGGGCCCGTCCCAGCTGCCAGGCATCAAGAAGTCCGGGGGCCACGCACGCTTCTTGATGCCCCCTTTGCGCTGCAGCCCGGCTCGCTCCATCTCGGGGCTGCCGGGGGCAGGTGGCTCATCGGCCCCCAAGGGAAGGTCCCGCTCGATGCCACTGTCGGTGGACAGCACGGACACCCGGGCCAGCCCGTGGTCTGGACGGAGGCCCTGCAGATCCAAGGCCTCCAAGTCAGCACTGAGGCGCAGCTGGGACTTTGGGCGCAGGAAGAGCACCAACTCCTTCCCTGGATGGCGGAGCAGGGGACCGTCAGGGCCGTGAGGGCACCTGGGGCTGGCAGCGCCCCAACCCTGTGTCCAGCCAGCTGCCCACAGAGGACACACATACACACAGACACAAACACGTGGACAGACACAGACACACATACAGGTACACAGACATAAACACAGGAACAGACACAGATACACAGACAGGTACACAGACATAAACACACGGACAGACACAGATACACATACAGATACACAGACATAAACACAGGGACAGATACAGATACACATACAGATACACAGACATAAACACAGGGACAGCCACAGACACACAGACAGGTACACAGACATAAACACAGGGACAGACACAGACACACAGACAGGTACACAGACATAAACACACGGACAGACACAGCTGTACACACAGACACGCAGATGTAGACACACAGGCACACATACAGACATGCACCCCCGTTTCCAGCCAGCCCCCACGCAGGAGTGGATGGCACGGGCACGTACAGAGCTGCTCCTCGCCGGCCCACAGGTGGAACGTGATGCAGGGGCTGGGCAGGGGGACGCCAGGGGGCCGGTCTTGGACAGGGTCACCTGCAGAAAAGAGTGGGCTATGGAAGCCACAGCGGAGAGGGGTGTGGGACCCTCCTCTGCCCTCCCTGCCCTGCCCGGCTCCTGTGGGTTGGCCTGGAGGGCTGGCAGGGACCCTTTCCTCCCCAGCTGGTCTTGTGGGGTTGGCCTTTCCATCTGTGCCACCACCAGCTCATCCAGGGCCCAACAGAGAGCTGTCCCCTCCCTGTCCAAGATGCCTGGCGGCTCCCTGTTTCCCACAAACAAACCTCCCAGCTCAGCCCTTAGGAGCCGTCACAAACCAGCTCACAAGGTCCTTTCCAACCTACTCTCCCAGCTTGGCCCCTGCCCCCGGCCTTGGTGTTCTGTAAATGCGCTGCCTGCATCCAGATGAGGCAGGAAAGACCTGTTTTTTTCGGGTCTGTTTCCAGTATCTGCACACAGCAGACAATTAACACCTGCTCCTCTTGGTCAAGACCTCATCAGCTAAGTCCAGGGGGCAGGAGGGAGCCTGGGCAGTCCAGGGGAGAGACCAGGGCAACCCCTCTCTCTGCTCCTCCTCCTAGAATCCTGACCACTCCAGTGGTCCACGGTGGTCATTCCCTCCCAGTGGACCTTGTACCTGCCACACCCCTTCTACTCATTTGATCCATGTTTCTGGATTCTGCCAATGACCTTGGGTGACAGGTAACATTATTACCCTCAATTTACAGGGAGGGAGCTGGGGCACAGAGAGGTTAAGTAACTGGCCCAAGGTCACAGAGTTAAGTGGCAGAGCCAGGATTCGAGCCTGGGCAGCCCGGCTCCAGAGTCCATGCTCTTACCCATGACATTGTGCTTATAATCACTGGCCCACGCTGCCCGCTATAGCTGCAGGGGCTCAACAGAGTGCTGGCCGGTCATTAAGATGCACAGGGCAAGTCTGGGTGGGAGACAGGTGCCCCCCAGGCATGGCTGGGGTAGAGAGGGGTGGCCCATATGGTCTCCCCTGGTCCCTGCAGAGTGACTGCTGTTAGCAAGTGGTACCCAAGGGGAGGGAAGCCAGCTTGGCCTGGGGCTTGCTCTAGCTGCACAAGCAGGCATTGCCACGTGGTGATCAGGGGCAGTCCAGGGCCGCAAAGCAAAGCGAAAGAGCAAAAAGCTGCGAAGACAGAGTCTGTAGGCAGGGGCTGTCCTGGCCCCATCACCCTGACTTCTTTGGCCTCCACCTAACCTCGGCTCTGTCCGTGGTCTTTGTTCCGTCAAATCCTTTGGTTACTACCGCGGAGTGGTGGAGAACTAGACAGCCTGGATTTGAATCTTAATCTCTTTCTAACTCAGTTTTCTCCTCCGAAAAATGGAGGCAATAATAGTTTCTATCTCCTAAGTTTTGCTGGGAGGATTAAATTGATTCAATACGGCATGTGCAATATATTTAAAGTGCTTAGAACAGCAACTGGGGGACAGCAGGTGCTCTGTAGGTGTCAGCTGTTGTCATGACCAAATCACCCACCTTCCGGGGGCCGGGTCCTGCCTAGTCCCTGGGCTGCCCGCAGTTCCCAGGGCCGGGGAGCGGCCAAGCGTCCCGCCCGCGCGGCAGCAGGCAGACTCGGGGCAGGTCTGGCGCTGCTCTCTGGCGCCCCCTGCGGCGCGCTGCCCGCTCCCGGGTCCTCGCGGCGCCCCGTCCCGCCGCTTACCGCCGCAGCGCCCCCTCGCGGCCGCCGGCCCCAGCAGCGAGCAGTAAATCTCCTCCAGCCTCTCCAGATGCTCCGCCCGGCTCGGGCTGGCCTCGCTGGCCATCTGCTCCACGGCTGCCACCACGGCGTGGAAATAGTGCTCCAGGGTGCCGCGGGAGCTGGTCTGTCGGAGAGGAGCGTCAGAGCCCGGGGCCCGGCCCCGCACCCACGCACCCCAGCTCCCACCCGAGTCCGTAGGGCCAAGGCAGCCTGGCGTGGCACCTCCCCTCTGCCCTGGGGCCAGGAGGGAGCTTCCTAAAAGGCTTCCGGACCCCACATGCAGGGCCCACACCTGCCCCGCCACAGCTGTTGCCCAATGTTGCCTGCAGGTGAGGGTCCCTTCTGCCCGCCACACCCTGTTCTGGGGAGACAGCTGGTGGGCTGACACATCTGCCCCCCCAGAGGGGCAGAGATGGCCGCCGCCACCCCCCCCCCCCAACCAGAAAGCATCACCAAGCACTTGGATCAATGCTCTGCACCTGCCCTCTAGAATGTGAATTCCGGGAAGACAGGGATTCTGTCTGTTTTGTTCAGGGATTCTGTCTGTTTTGTTCATGTCTGCATCTCCTGCACCTAGAACAGCTCACTGTGCACTGTTCTAGGTGCTGGGATACAGCAGGGAACAAAACAGACAGAAATTCCTGTCTTCATGGAACTTATGGTATGTGGGGGGGGCAGGCGATAAACAAAATAAGTAAAATGTATGGCATAATACATAACAATAAGTGCAGAAGAGAAACTACAGCAGGGAAGGAGGATGTGGAATGTGGGGGAGGGGCTGAATATTTAGATTGTGCGGTCTGGGAAGCCTCAGCTGAGAAACTGACTCAAAGTAAGGACTCAAAGAAAGTGAAGGGGTGCGCGCTGCAGATATCCTAGATAACATCCCAAGCGTAGAGAGCAGCACATGCAAAGGCCCTGGGGTGCAAGTTTGCCAGCCATGTGTGAGGAACGATAAGGAGGCCTGTGTAGCTGGAGCAGAGAAAATGAGAGGAAACGCAGAGCGGGGCAGATCATAAGGGTCTTGTAGGCCACTGTAATGACGTTGGCTTTGACCCTGAGTGAGATTCTGTAGCAGCTACTGTAGTGGTGACCCCGATTCCCACCTTCAGGACTGAGGCACTCGTTAGCCCCGCTGCTGGGAGAACTCGCAGCCAGAGAGCACTGGGCTGAGTCTCCAAAATCGCCCTCAGTGGAAGAGAGCCACCTCTCCAAGGACGTGCCCCCTTCCTGTAGACAGTCCACATCAAAGGCCTAGTGGATGTGGAGGCATAAAGGCCTCACCCCCCCTACCCCAATTCCAGACATTTCTAAAAAGCCAGCTCAACTCCAGAGCTTCTCGTAGGCTCAGCATCTACACAACGGCCTTGCTTCTCCCTCTGCCCCATCTTGCATCCTTCGTGCTCCACGTGGGCTCCTCAGTGAACTTTCTGCAAAGAAACTTCCACGCCAGGGGCTGCTTCCCTGGGAAGCTTCTCTGCAGCAGAGGGGCAGCCGTGGGGATGGCAGAGCGGAGGCTTGGCATGACCTGACTCGTGTCTTAGCAGCTACAGGACTGAGAACAGATTGTGGAGCCAGGGGCCACAGCAGGGGCAGGGGGCCAGGAGGCACTGAGGCCGGCGTGGCGGCAGTTGAGGTGGTGGGAAATGGCTTGCTTCCGCCCACACTTGAAGGCAGAACCGATAGGAAGGAGTCTGCCCGTGGTTTTGTGCCTGAGCGGGTGTAAGAATGGCACGCGGTGAGCTGAGATGGGGAGAGGCTGTGGGCGGAGCGGACTCTGGAGCTCAGTAGAAGGATGGCTTGTGGACAAGAGGAAAATCGGGCCCTGAGAAGCAGCAACTGGCTCGACGTCACACTGCCAACCCACAGGAGAGCTGGCTCTCAAATCTGTGTCTCCTGGCTCCCTTCCGTGGCCTGGTTCCCACGTCTCTCTGGAAATCCCTGAATTCAAGGCTTAGCAAAGAAATCTCCCCTGGGCCTTGAACCCCTGACCTCACGTGGGGCAGCCCTACCTTGAGACATCCCTATCTCAGCACCCCAAACAGACAGAGGGTCAGAGAGATGGGTGTCCCAAGCTGACCTCCCAGTCTGGGGACCTTGTTAGTTGGTCCTGTGGACACATGGGAGACCAATCTACTCCTGTGGTCCTGTGGTTGGTCCTGTGGACACATGGGAGACCAATCTACTCCCCATCTGGGTCTCAGACCAGGCCCTCAGTAGACAGAATGTGGGCTGAAGTCGGACAAGTCCTACCTGCCAGGCAGGTGACTGGCAATGACACCCCTAAACCTGTCTCAGGAGGCAGAATTCCAGAGAAGGGGGCTGAGTCTCAGGGGCAAGGGGAGTGGTGGTCAACATGAGAACCCCAGGCCAGGCTGATGTCCAGGAGCCCTAGCACCCAGTGGGGGATACCAGGGGACTGTGAGGACCCCTCTAATGCTAACCTTCCAAGGGTCTCCAATTTCAGATCCATCCTTCTACTGAGCTCCAGAGTCCGCTCCGCCCACAGCCTCTCCCCATCTCAGCTCACCGCGTGCCATTCTTACACCCGCTCAGGCACAAAACCGCGGGCAGACTCCTTCCTATTGGTTCTGCCTTCAAATGTGGGCGGAAGCAAGCCATTTCCCACCACCTCAACTGCCGCCACGCCGGCCTCAGTGCCTCCTGGCCCCCTGCCCCTGCTGTGGCCCCTGAAATTCTCTATACACAGAAATCCAGACTCAGAGCAGTGGGCTCTGGATAGTGAGGTGGAAGAGGAGGATATAACATTTTGACTACACCTAAAAAAAGACACCTTTTACTTTCAGTATTTCTTTTTTCCATTGCAAAATAATATATGCAACAAAGCCAGGAGTTCTAGCCCTTGAACCCCAGCCCCTTCCTGATCTGGCATCTCTCAATCCTTTCCCATTCCTGCTACCCTAGATCCTGGCCCACATTCATTCCTAACCCTATCCTGAACCCCAGCTGCCTCCAAGTTGGGGATGGTGTGAGTCTTAGGGGTGGGTTATCTATTTCCCATGTCACCAAGGCACAAAAATCAGTGCTCTTACACGTTTGACTTGGTTGGGTCAAAATGATCCCTACACTATGGCCTATCTTGTGAGCCAGAAACAACCACCAGAGCTGCAGGAAGGGCAGTGGGAACTGCTGAGTTAGCAGACAAATGCTGGGTCAGGAAAAATACTCTCTTGCCCATCTTCCTGAGAGTCTTGGCCAAGTGCAGGGAGAGAGGACAGTATGGACATTAGGCGCCATATGTGTGTGCTGAAACCAAGATGAGGCCTTAGTTATGAGTTAGTGGAGCGTGGGGCAGTCTCCCACATGTAGCTGTGTGCTGCGAGCACTTACAGGGGATGCTATGAAAGCAGCGGAAGTCAAGGATGGTTGGGTTAGGTGAGTCAAGCACCCTTGATAGGCCCAAGCAGGTGGGCAAGCACAGAGGAATGGTGTCCTAGGTATAGGAAAGGTGACCTTTGAGAAAGAGAATGGCAGAAAGCAATATGCATGTTTTAAGGAGGGGCACAGCCATCCATAAAAGGAAGGACCTGCCAAAGAAAGGATCCAAGAGGGAGAGTTCAGACAGTGGGGGATTCCAGGAGGAAAACAACAGGAGGAAGAGCAGTGAGTCCTGTGCATTTTGATGGGCAGAACAGGGTCTGAGTCATGGGCTGGGGAAAAAGACTGACTCCCAGACTTCCTGGGGCAAGACAGGCAGGGGAGGGCTGAACCCTTGAGCGTACCCCCAAGTCTGTGTGCCTGGCTCCTCCTGTAGACCTGAAGAGTAGCAGCCCAGAACCTTGGCCATCCTCCCGTCCAGCCTCCCAGCAGCCTTCCCCATGCCCCACTGCAGAAAGTTGCCTCTGACAGGCAGCAGTCCCCGGCCCCCACCCTAGAAGTCCAGCACCTGGTGCCAACCCTTGGCCAGAATATCTCCAACCTATGGGAGCACACATGGGGACCAAGACTGAGTCAGAGAGGAAAGCTAGGAAATAAGTGCTGGAAATAGACTAAATACTTAACCACAGGAACAGGGGATTGGTTAAATAAATAACAGCACATTCATAAGACAGAACATTGTGCAACCTTTAGAAGTGCATATTTTCCAAGGAAAATATTTCCACCTGGCGTATTTCCAATGGCACGGGAAAATAAGTACTATAAATATGCATAGATGCATACATATGCATACATACATAGGCAGTATATATTAATAAAACTGTTTATGGGGTTTGGTGTCCCAATTTGTTAAAAAGGAGATGGGGAGGTTGGAAAGCAATTGAACATAAGCTTGACGTCAACAAGATCTGGGTTCAAGTCCCAGCTCAGGCACTTTGCCTCTGTGTGACCATGAGTGGGTTATCAACGTCTCTGTGCCTTAGTGTCCCCATCTCTAAATGCAGATAATGTTATCCATTTCACCATGTTGTGGGGAGAATTTTGAAATGTGATAGATGTAAAGTGTTTAACACAGCTTCCGGAACACAATAGATATTCCGTGAACAGTGACATTGTAATAATGACATTATTATTGTCATTATTCTTAAGGGACTATAACAACATGTCCGTTGTGATTATGTCTGGGTCGGAGGTTATGAGTGATTTTTATTTTCTTCTTGAGCTTATCTGCATTTTTCAGCTTTTCCTTAGTAAAAGTGTATTCATTTTTTATTTGCCGGAGGGGGGGGGAAGTGATATAAAACAGGCGAAGGGGGTGATTGGCATCAATGTGCAGGGACCCGGGCTGGAACCCACAGGGGCTGGGGTAGGGCATTTACCTGCAGCTTCCTGTGCAGGGCGGCCGCGTGGCAGGCCTCGCCCAGCGCGGCCTGCAGGGCGTGGGAGACCACGTGGCGCATGCAGGCCTCTGGCGTCTGCTGCTCCTGGGCCGCCTCTATCTCCAGGAGCAGGGCACTGCACACGGAGGCGGACACCAGCTCGGGATCCACGAAGAGGAACACTCTGCGGGCAGGGGTGGGGGAGGGGCAGGGCAGATGAAGATGGCTACTGGGAGAGTGGCCACTGGATAGGCCCCCTCGGGGCGGGGCAGCACCCCCAAGTTATTTAGTTCCTCTAAAAAGAGGAGCCTCAAATTCAAAAGTCTCTGAGTGGGATGACAGTAGGGAGTGGCGGGGACTAGGGCAAATTAGAGCATGTGCGGCCCTCCGAGGGGACAGTTCCAGTCCATTTTGCTGTATCGTCTGTCTTCACACAGGAAAGCGGGCCTCGCCCTGTGTCTAGGTAAGTTCCACCCTTAATGCTGCTCTCTCCATCAGTATCCTGGCCCAGCGACCACGCCGCCATCTGGGAGGGACCCTACATCCTTCCTGCCAGAACTGGGGCTCTGAACCCCAAGTGCATCCCATCTTCTCTCATCACCTTTTCACACCGGAAAACCAACCTCACCTTCTCTCCCCTCCTCACGGAGCTGTGTCATCCCCACTTCTCCAGTGCCAATACCCCTGGGTCCCCTTCACTTCCCTGCACCTGTCATGAACACAGCGCCCCAAGCCTCAAACCCAAGCTGTGCCTTTCAGTGCCCAGTCGGAGGGAGGCATCAACCCCAACTTCATCACCCCTTTCCTCAACACGGACAGCAGGCATGTCCTCAGTCTTATCTCAGGGGCTGGGCACACTGGGAGGAAGACCTCCTGATTTCATTGTGTGACTCCACCGTGGACATTCCGGAGCCTCCTCTGGCTGCCTGGCCGGGTGGGAGCTGCACTGTGGCCGAGGGCAGGACGGAGGGGCGAGGGAAGAACTCCAGAGTGGCCCCGAGCCCATGTCCACCTTCTGCGTGTGACTGGGGCAGCTCTGCATCCACCCCAAGGAGAAAGACCCAACCTGTGTTCGGTGCAATCCAGAAACCCATGTGGCCCGTGCACCCTGGAATTGCAAACACACTCCACAGTCATGGCTAGAAGCTCTGCTGGGGCTCTTCCCAGTCCAGCCTCCTCTTTCGTCCTCCTTTCAGTGAGCAGCCACTGTCCCTGACACCTTGAGGGGGCTGACGGCAGTGACCTTTCTGGAGCCACTCACCTCTCCTGGTAGGGATACAGTTCATTCGTCAAGTTCTGCTCGGCGATGACTGTCCTTTGGTAGAGCGTCCCTGCAGGCCAGACCGCGTCAGCCACCCAACCCCCCGAGGTTTGGTTGCCATTCCCCACCTTCCCACAGAGGGTGCTGGGACTTTTGAGCTCCCCAGCTTCCCAGGGGGGAAAAGGGCAAGACCCTGGGCGGTGCGGGAGGTGTCGCATGGGAGACAAAGAGGCAGCTCCCACCTGGGACCGCTGTCTCTGTTTTCAGCCTGATGGCGCAGTCCAGGGCGATGGTGCAGTAGGGGGTGGGCAGGGTCAGCAGCCGCGTGCAGAAGGCGTAGGTCCTGCGGTGGAGCTCCTCTGGGATGCCCGTGGCCTGCGGGGGAGGGAGGAGTTGGGGTGCCCAGAGCCCAGGTCATGAAAGGTCCTGGCAGGGGGTGGGGTGGGGGGTTGGGAGAGGAGGAGGAAGGTGGGGCCTGACAGCCAGACTTGAGTGCACAGCTCTCTTCCAAACCCGCGTCTTCCCCATCCTCCCCCAGTGCACCTGGGAGACATCCTTTTCCCGCTGCCCAATCCTTTTCCCGCTGCCCTCTAGGTTACCAAGACAGAAATTCATCCCATTCATCCCATCAAGTTCCGCGGGCAAATCAACTCCCGCCCCAACCCTTCTGCTCCGCCAGGGCGCTGCGATCCTGCAGCTGTCCAGGTTGGGAAACCTGGAGTCCCTTCTGCTTTGCTCCTCCTGGCGCGGCACAGGCCTGAGCCCCTCACGGCGCCTCCGGCTCCCCTGCCCCCTCCCCACCGTGTCCTCCGCCTCTGCCTGAGCCGCACCCCACCCTGCCCCTAACCCTGGCTTCTCCAGCAGCCAGACTTCCTCTTCCTGCCTTCCTCCTCGCCACACCCACCCCTGCGACTGCACACAGCTCCCCACTGCACTTTCTATGACGTTAGAAAAATCTTCTCATGTCTCTTCTCTGTGGAAAGATCAATGACACCTCCTGTTGCTTGTACCAACAAACCAAAGACCTCACCCTGCCACTCGAGGCTCTCCGTGCATTCCCCGCACTGCCTCGACCTCCCCATAGTCTCCCCAACGTCCTCTCTCCACGTGGGAGGGGAAGGGCGCGCAGCTTGTGCTTAGAAGCGAGTTTGGCGCAGGCAACAAGAGGTGTTTCTAGGCTGGCCCTGGCAGGGGCTGAGTGTCCAGTAAGAGAAGAGGACAGTGTCCGGCCCAGCCACATGCGGGTCACCACTACCACCCTGACCTGAGCCCCCAGCTCACCTTAGTGAGCACGTACATTAGCGTATGCAGCAAGGGTATGATGACGTGCCGGCAGTCCTCGCTTTCTGCCTGGAAAACAGGAGATGCATGGGGTGACATTTTCTGGGCAGGGAGGCTCCCTACCTCCTAGCAGGAGGCGGTCTTGGGGGAGGGGGAAGGGGGGCAGGAGGTGGGGTGCACGGCAGCCAAGGGGAGTGCAAAGGGCCACAGTCTGTCCTGGACAGAGGGTGGGGAGGCAGGGAGCACAGATGCGGAGCCCTTCTGTGAGGGCGTGGGGGGGTGCGGGGGTGCAGGGAACTCCGTGGGGGAGGGCTGGCATTGACTGGGGGCAGGAGCGTCAGCAAAGCGACAAACAAACCCCCAACTTGGAGCCTCCCTGGAGCGTGGCAGCGTTGCCCTAACAGCTGCACACAGAACATTGTGTGGTGCGGAGGATAATTTTAGGTGGTACAAGGATAATTTTGAAAAACGTCAATAGTTATATAATTATGTTTATAGGTGCCTTCCATTTCTGACAAGTGATATGGGCTTTCCATTTATGGTCATGTTATGGGGTTTCTTTCCTTTTTTTATTTTTTAAGAGAAGGATTCTCGCTGGGATGCCGGGCTGGAGTGCAGTGGCTGTTCACAGGCACCATCATGGCTCACTATAGCCTTGAACTCCTGAGCTCAGGTGACCCTCCTGCCTCAGCCTCCCCAGCATCCGGGACTAAAGGCTGCCACTGCGCCCAGCTTCTTTTTAAAATATGTTTATCCACGTAAAACAATGGTAATTGATGTAAAGAAAATATTGCTTATGTAAAAGTACAGGGAGGGAGATGTAAAATACATGGTGAAAATCACGCAGGCGGTCCACGGCTGACTCGGTTTGGGACATGCAGCGCTGCAGGGACTGAGCCCCCAGCCGGTCTGTCCCTCTCTTCCTCCCACCCCCGGCTGCTCCCCCGAGGCCGGGAACCCACCTTCTCCAGTTCCCGGAGCAGAATGCGGACCAGCGCCGGACTCTTACCAGGATCTCGCTCGACCTTCTTGTGCAGGGACCATCTCCACATGCCTGGGCCGGGAAAGAGGGGACCCAGGTAGGGTAGGGGGCTCTAAGCAGGACCCTGAGCCCTGGAGCCCCAGACTGTGGTGTCTGACCGCTCCACCAGCGCTGGGTTCCAGATACACCTGGGTGGGCTCCTCACCTGGGGGGAATAGTGATCCGTAGCCCTTTGGGGACAGTGAAGTCTCAGGACAGAGAAAAGGGCAGGTGGGACACAAGTGGGGATGGCGTGTGCGTGCGCACCACAGAGCAGCAATGTCTGCGGGCGTGTGTCCCCAGCCATGTTCTGGGAGCCCCGCTGGCCTGGAGTGCGGAGGGGCGTTTGGTTCGGCAGTGAGGGGGCGAAGGTGGTTAAGAGAGAGGGTGGCAGACCCCCGTGTGCTCCGCTGCAGTTCCAGGAGGGTTGAGTCAGGGAGCGGAGGAGCCTTCTCAGTCCTTTAGGCTCTAGGTATTTCCAGTAAAAAGAGGGCTTGGCCGGAAGCCCCTCACCCCATGAACTCCAGGCTGGGGCCCTTTCCTGAACTCGTGGGCAGACACCTGGCTGGGGTGGGGTGGGGGGAACAGCCACCACCCGCCTGCTGGCTCTTACCTTGGTTGCTCTGCAGGGCCGGGGCCTGGGCGCTGAGCTCCCGGAGCACAGCCTGCACGCTCCTCTGGAGGTCCTGCTCCACATCTGGGCAGTGGTGGGGAGCGGAGAGGAGCTCAGCCCACCTGGACCCCTTGCCCCACCTCCATCCCCCCTGAGAATGTCTTTAACCCCTTCTATGAGCCTCAAGAGGTGACAAAAGCAATCAACTGTCAGCCCACGCACCAGCCAGGGCTGGAATACAGCTTTCCTTCCAATGGCATTTCTGGGTTCTTGGTTTAAAATTCAGTATGTATACCACTGGGTATAGGCAAGATAATTTTAGGTGGTACCCCAACAATCGTAAAATCTGAATAGTTACGCACGTATTTTAATGCGTATTAGAAGAAATATATAACAAGTTCCCTTCCTTCCTTCCTTCCTTCCTTCCTTCCTTCCTTCCTTCCTTCCTTCCTTCCTTCCTTCCTTCCTTCCTTCCTTCCTCCTCTCTCCTCCTGTTCCCTCTCTCTTCTGCTGTGTACTGCACAGAAAAACGTTCAACTGTGACAACCATGTTGTCCTCTCTTTTCCCTCTTTAGAAGGGCAGCCAAGCCCTTGTCTTCTGAGCCCTAGGTTCCCCTGCTTTGCAAGGGGAGTTAACATTTTACGTTTCACAGAAAAATAGAGAAGTTGCCAGTAGCCCTGGGAGACAACTTCAAATAAACTTTGTTTTTTCCTGAAGTCTGGGCAGCCAGAACAAAGTTCAAAGTCTCAGGCTTTGCTTCACATCTGGCTTGCAGACCTGTTTTGCTTGGGCTTGTGTAGTGTCTTAAAACAAAACAAACAAAACAAAACAAAATTAGCTGCCAACATTTACAGACCAGGAGATTTTGCATGAAAGTTTGGGTTTCTGGAATCTCTAGAAAATCTGAAAATCTGTTGACACTGGGCATGCATTCTTCGGGAGAAGCTGCCCCCTTGAGATGGGCACAGCTTCTCTAGTTCTTCACTGTCCCCACTGCCCTGGCTTCCCTGTTTTCACTCATCTACAGCCTCCACCTGGACCCTGGAGGGCTGCAGCCGGGAGCCCTGGCCAGCCGATTGAACCAATCAAGCTGGATTGTCTAAAAGGGGTGGGGATGGAGGCTGATGCTTTCAGCTAAAGAGCAGAGTGGCCCAATCCAAGGGTGGGAGATTGGATTTCCCAACACTGTGAGGGCACAGAGGTTATGGGGTTCCAGAGAATGAGGAAGACCAGGCTGGCTGGGACATAGCTTATCAGTGGTGGCCAAGATCAGATGAGGGCAGCTAAGCACCGAACCCTGTGCCTTTGAATGACACAGCAAAAGTCTCCTGAGCCACTTTCTCCCGAGCACAAGAATGTCCCCCACAGGATCCTGCTGTCTCCCTATGGACCGTGTGACCCTGGCTGAGCAGATCTGGAGGCTGCAGCCACAGTGGACTGGAGACCACAGACTTTTCCCACTGCCCAGACTTTGTAAGCCCCGGGCTTCTCAAAGGCTCCCAAGGAGGGAGAAATGATACTGGGATTCATCTTAACCTTGGAAAATGAGAGCTTGAAGCTGGTTTTGATTTGATTAAGTGAAAGAAGGCAATGGGATGTTTCTTGTGCCTCAAGTGTCTTGGGGTTGTTCATAAATGATACGCATGTCTGATGTCATTGTTGAGTCAGAACAGTCAATAAATAAATGGCATCCATTATGACTATCCTCCTCTCTATCCGGGAATGTGGGCTATTACTGTTAGGTATTGCCATTATATTATTATTACTATTACTATTATTATTATTACCTAACATTTAAACAGCACCTGTAAGGTACACACACACAGAGTCTTTCATAGGTGTGACAAGACAATAAATGTTATACCTTCATCAAACCAGGTTCATTTTTTCACTGGTAGACAGGAAGACTACATTTCCCAGACTCCCCTGCAGTTAGCTAAAAGCCATGTGACTGAGCTCTGGCCAATGGAATGCAGTGGAAGTGATGTATGTCGCTTGCAGGCCCTGTCATAAAGGCCCCTGCACTGTCCTCCATACTCTCCTCTCAGTCCCTGAATGACTTCGTGGAGCCCAGATTGGACTGTGAAGTGAGTGAGAATAAACGTTTGTTGTGTTAATCAAATTTGGGGTTGCTACAGAGCTACCGTTCTCTGGTTGACTCTTGGATACGTGAAGTGTTTTCCAATGTATTATCTCAATTGATTCCGACAGGAACCCTGTGAGTGCGGCAGGACAGACACCATTCTCCCTGTTTTCTAGAATCCAGGTCTAGAGCCCTTACCTGTGTCTCAAGTTGCCTCTCCCACCACAAGAAGTCACACCTAGAGGGACCTAGAAGTCACACCTAGAGGGACCTCAGCACCCAGAGGCACCTCTGCCACCCTACACCGAATCCCCCTCACCCCCATGCAGTAAAAAGGGCTCTGATTGTTCTAGAAACCTTTGCAGTCTTGGCCTTGTTTGTAGGCGTGGCAAAATAACAAGTGACCTTGAAACATCGCTTTTTTCTGTCCCCTAAAATAAATATTTTACTTCCCAGGTGCCCCTGTTCTGAACTCTAGGATGAGGGCTAGAGAGGACTGTGAAGGTAGGAGGGAGAGTTAACACAATCGCATGTGGGCAGGCGGCCAGGACAACTGCCTGGTCACAGGGGACAAGTCCCTGTCGCAGCTGCCAGGGCAGGCGTCCCACTTTGGGGGTGTGTCCTCTCACCCACTGGAGTTGGATGTCATCCGTCACACCTTTGGGCATGGATGTCGATGGTTTCACTTGCCCAGTGTCCCTCCCTGCTCATGGCAATCGGTAGGGCTACAACCCGGGTGCCCTACTTTGCTCTGGCTTCAGTGTGGGCATAGGACCAAGCTAGCCAAAGTCTCTCTCTCTCTCTCTCTCTCTCTCTCTCTCTCTCTCTCTCTCTCTCTCAGAGGTTTATGCAGAGGCTCAAGGAGGGAAGAACTCCTGGTGTGCTCTCATGGGCGTCGTCTGCCTCTCTTTGTCCTGGTGGCAGGTCTGCCCTGTGACCTGCCTTTCTGGTGTCTGGTGCTTCAGTCCTTCTTTTGATGCTTGGCCACTTTGGTTTTTTGAAATTAGCCATATCGGTTTCTATTGCTTGTATCTAAAGAACCTTTATGGGTACACCTCTCTTCCTGAAAGACAGCATAGCCTATATGTATCGCCATAATTAAAGTGAGTGCAAAGTAAATTGGCTTTGAAACAGGCATGTGTCGCTTAACAACAAGGATACGTTCTAAGAAGTGCATCGTTTGGCAGTTTCATTGTGTGAGCATCATGGAGCGTACGGACACAAACCTAGGTGGTGTAGCCGACTACACGCGTGGCTGTAGGGGTTGGCCTATTGCTCCAGGCTACAAACCTGTGTAGCAGGTCATTGTATTGGATGCTGCAGGCAATTGTAACACACCGGTAAGTATTTGTGTATCTAAACGTGTCTAAACATAGAAAATGTCTAAACAGCAAAAATATGATGTTATAATCTTACATGATCATTGTTGTATATTAGGTCTGCTGTTGACCAAAACGTTGGTCCATAGCCCATGACTACATTTAGGAGGTTTTTTTTTTTTGGAGACAGAGTCTCGCTCTCTTGCCTGGGCTAGAGTGCTGTGGCGTCAGCCTAGCTCACAGCAACCTCAAACTCCTGGGCTCAAGCGATCCTCCTGCCTCAGTCTCCCCAGTAGCTGGGACTACAAGCATGGGCCACCATACCCGGCTAATTTTTTCTATGTATTTTTAGTTGTCCAGCTAATTTATTTCTAATTTCAGTAGAGACGGGGGTCTTGCTCTTGCTCAGGCTGGTCTCAAACTCCTGAGCTCAAGCAATCCACCTGGGCCTCCCAGAGTTCTAGGGTTACAGGCCTGAGCCACCGCGCCTGGCCTATATTTAGGAGGTTTTTCACAGGGCTGCCCCACTCCTTGCCTCCTACCCCAAATGCCAGCTGGTCTCCGACAACCTAAAATATTGCCAGATCGGAATTCACGGCGGTTGCCTGACTCAGTGGAGCTACTTGTGATTGGACAAGGCTCTGAGGATAGATGGAGTACGGGAAGGATCGTGTTGTGGGGATGATAACAACGAGGCAGCTGACCCTGTCTTGGGGTCCCCTCCCCTTCCCCAAGACAGGGATCTTCAAGGGCATTATAGTCTCTGCTTGGTGGCCTGCAGTGTGGTCTCTTAGATGACACACCTTGGGAGGCAGGGACACCCCTCCTTGCTGTCCCAGATTGATAGAGGGTGAAGAGTGTAGGCTTTGCCACTTACTAGCCATCTGGCTTTACCAAATTACCTAACCTCTCTGAGCCTCAGTTTCCTTTTCAGGCAAACAAGGATAATCATAGCAATGCTCCTACCCTACAGAATCCTTCTGGCATTTGCATGAGTTAATCCATAGTGAGATCATTAAGAGCCCCGACACTGGAGCTAGATGGTCGGGTTCCAGGCCTAATTTGACCGTACAATATGTGACCTTAGGAAAAGTACCTGGCCTCGCCATGCCTCGGTTTTCCTTTCTGTGAAATGAGAGTAATGATACCTATCTTGTGGGGTTGTTATCATGAACTAAATGACGCTAGGCACGGTGGCTCATGCCTCTAATCCTAGCACTTTGGGAGGCCCAGGTGGGAGGATCACTTGAGGCCAGAAGTTTAAGACCAACCTGGGCAATAGCGAGACCCCGTCTCTACAAAAAATTTAAAAATCAGCTGGGCTTGGTGGCATATGCCTGTAGTCCCAGCTACTCTGGAGGCTGAGGCAGGAGGATCACTCGAGCCCAGGAGTTTGAGGCTGCCGTGAGCTACGATGACGCCACTGCACTCTAGCTCCAGCAACAGAGTGAGACCCTGTCTCAAAAAAAAATAGACTAAATGAGTTAATATTTGTCAAGTGTTTTTATCACTCCTTGATACAGTGTAAGTGCTATTAATACATAGGTTTTTGTTAAATAATCGCAAGTGTTTGGTAATGCATCTCCACTGTTCTTATTATTATTCCCATTCTCCAGCTCAGTGACCTGCAAGCAGCTGGGGTGTCGTGCATGCGGGTGGATGTCCATCTCCCGATACGCGCTCACATCTGGGCGGCTGAATGGGGCCCCGCAGCCTGGCTGGGTGCAGGGGTCCTGCCAGCCGATACTCACCCACACGAGGGGCCCTCCCCCCCCCGAGCAGCAGGCCCACTAGACCCTGCCCCCCAACACTGACCTGAGCTCTCCATGGGAGCCTGTGGGGAGCGTGAGGAGGATGTGGTTGTCTCAAGGCGGCAGAATGGAAAGCAAAGTGGTTGTTTTTCTGCACAGAGGTGGTTCTGCAAAATAGGAGGCAGTTAGCGTAAGGGGTGGGAAGGTACAGAAAGTATATTTGGGAAATGGAGAAGCTCGTAGGGGATCCAGGCTTCTAGCATGCTGGAGGCAAGTCTAGATTTATTTAAGAAATACTTACAGGCCGGGTGCGGTGGCTCACGCCTATAATCCTAGCACTCTGGGAGGCCGAGGCGGGCGATTGCTCAAGGTCAGGAGTTCGAAACCAGCCTGACAAGAGGAGACCCGTTCTACTATAAATAGAAAGAAATTAATGGCCAACTAATATATATAGAAAAATTAGCCGGGCATGGTGGCCATGCTGTAGTCCCAGCTACTCGGAGGCTGAGGCAGCAGGATCCTTGAACCAGGAGTTTGAGGTTGCTGCGAGCTAGGCTGAACCACAGCACTTCCTAGCCTGGGCAACAAGTGGGACCTGCTCAAAAAAAAAAAAAAGGAAAGAAAATAAAATAAATACTTATATAGTGCTTACTGTGTGCCAGGCACTCTTCTAAGCACTTAAAAAACGCCAACTGTTTAATATTAGCATTACACATACGAGGTAAGTATTATGCCCCGACCCCAGAATACAGATGGGGAAACTGAAACACAAAGAGATTAAATGACTATTCAAGGTCAAAAAGGTAGTAAGTAAAGGAATGAGGGTTTGAACTCAGACCATCGGGATCTAGATCCCTGCCCGCAATCACGACCCCAGGCTGCCCGACTGCGACCCGAGCAGGGGGTGCTCCCAAGTCTGTTCCCCAAACAGTCACCCCAGTGGCTGAGAAGCAAAGGGACTCCATAAAAATCCAAGAGTTTGTTCTTTGGAGAGAAACAAACATATACCTGGGGGAGCTATTCTAAAGAGAGAGAACAAAGAGACAATATTAGAAATGATAAATATCATGTATATTTATTGATGGCAAAAAAGAAAATGTGAGTCCTCTATATCATACTGGTTTTTATAGGAAAGTAAAAATGACTCAAAGGCTCTAGAAGAGTTAGAAAAACTGCTTATATAAGTAACCAGTGAGGAAATAGAGAAAGTTGTTAAAGAACTCGCTCTAAAAAAGTGATGTCTGGCACAGATGGTTCATCTGTTAAGTTCTTACAAACCCACAGAGTAAAGAAAACTTCTTTGTTATTTAAACTGCTCCAAAACATAGAGAAGAAGGAAAATTTCTCAGTTTACTGGACAAAGCCAGCTTAACTTTGATACCAAAATCTAATACAGTTAGTTTCAAAAAATAGATCAAGCACTTCACACCTACTGGAATGGCTATTATAAAAAACTCAACCAACCAACAAACAAAAAACAGAAAATAGCAAGTGTTAGCAAGGATGTGGAGAAATTGAAGCCCTAATGCATTGCTGGTGGGAATTCAAAATGGTGTCACTACTATGGAAAATAGTATGGCAGGTTCCTCAAAAAGTTAAACATAAAATTACCATACGATCTGATAATTCCACTGTTAGGCAAATACCCAAAAGAATTGAAAATAGGAACTCAAACAGATACTTGTATACCAATGTTCACAGAAACATTATCCAAAATAGCAAAGAGGTAAAAAAACTCAAGTGTCCATCAACAGAACAGCAATGAATAAACAAAATATGATAAATACATATAAGGGGAAGTTATTTAACCTTACAGAGGAATGAAATTCTGATACATGCTACATTGTGGATAAACCTTGAAAATATCATGCTGAGTAAAATAAATCAGACATAAAAGGACAAATATTATATGATTTCACTTATATGAGGTACCTAGAATAGGCAAATTCGCAGAGACAGGAACAGCAAGTATGATACAGGCTACGGGGATTGGGGAGGGAGAATGAGGAGTAATAGTTTAATGGGTACAGACTTTCAGTTTGGGATGATAGAAAAGTTCTGGAAATGAATAGTGGGGATAGTTGCACAACATTGTGAATGTACTTGATGCCACTGGATTGTATACTTAAAAATTGGTAAAATGGATAATTTTATATTATGCATATTTTACCAAAAAATAGGTTAGACTCACCTATAAATATTGATGCAAAATTAAAAAAAATAAACATCAACAAATTGAATTCAGCAATGTATTGAAATCATAA